ACAGCTGTGTTTATTATTTAATATGATCTGGTTTGTAGAGGAGGTTGATATCTTCCTTCTTCATCCCACAAGTGATTATTTTTTATTCTTGTGCATTGTGCTAGACATCCTTAACCCAGACATACCTGAACCCAGATACTGGAGAGTTACTGGTCAGAAGACTGACAAGGTCTCTGTTGTCGTGGTATTTATGTTCTATTGGGGTGCGAGATAGACAGTAATTTCAAACTGCTATAAATCCTAGAACAGATAAAGAACTCTTCAGAGTTTCCATTTATTATTTGTGTCATTCTAATATGTGGTTTTAAAGATTTTTTCATTTTACCCATGTTGTCATATCTGTTGTTCTGAGTAGACTTACTTCATTTTCAATGTTTGTAGAATCTATACTGATGTCTTCCTTTTCTCATTTCTAAGAGAAATAGTAATTTTTATTCTTCTCTCTCCCTTTGTCTCTGTCTGTCTGTCTCTCTCTCACACACACACACATACACACACACATGAAATATCTAGTTAAGAGTCTATCAATTTTATTAAGCTTTGCAAAGAACAAGCTTTCAGCACTACTGATTTTTTAAATTGCCTATACATTTTGTACTTCATTGATTTCTTACCCTTCTACTTGAGGTATAATTCATTTTTCTTGTAGCATTGATTTTTCAGCCTTGATTCTTTTTCAATATATGCATTTAAAGGCATAAGTTGTTCTGTGTCCCAGAAATTTTGATACATTGAACTTTCAGTATTGTTCTATTCAAATACCTTCTAATTTCAGTGTGATTTCTTCTGTGATCCTCAGAACTGGGTTGCTTATTTTAAACTGTATCTGTTTTTGTTGTTCTCTACTTTGATTCTGTTGTAAACAAACATACTGGTATAGTGTATCAGTCTGTTGAAGGTTTGTTGACAGAAAAGAGTCCACAGTTTTGGATATAGTATTCTAGATAACTCATTTATACTAACTTGGTTAATCATGTTGGTCAAATCTTGCATATCTTCATCTATTTTTTACTTCTGTTTTTGCTTTATATATGCTGAAACAATGTTAACAGATACATTTAGGATCATTAAATTTGTTATACTTTTATCCTTATGAGATGCTCCTTTTTTCCTTTGTAATAATAATTCATCTGCTATTAATAATTGTGCATTGTTTCATTTGTTCAACCTACCTAATATCCTATATTTAAAGTGTGTCTCTTTAAAATGAATTTCATTTTTAGCTGACCTAGACTGTCTCTGTTCTGTCCTGAGAGCTTTGAATATTGTGAGAAATTTCATGTCTGCCCTTTGGAATTTGGTTTAATTCTTCATTCTTGTATATTACTTAGCTCTAAATTTTGATGTTTCTTTAGGAATAGATTTTATATATATATATATATATATATATATATATATATATATATATATATATATATATATATATATATATATATATAATACTTATTTCAGGCTCCTTTACCTACTGGGGCTTTTACCTAGTGGGTCTTTACTCTTGAGTATTGCCAGAGATCAGGAGATTTCACTCAGCCATCCCACCTCCCTGCACCATCCTAACCTCCCAGACTTGACCCACTCATCCTGTGGAAGAAACAGGAACTACAGTTTGAAACTCCTTCAGGATCCAACCCATGTGATTACTAAGAAATCCACTAGTGTCTTTTTTCTCTGATAAGTGTTTCAAATAGGCAGAGGTTCTGTGCCTTTTCTCTGTGGAGTTTTAATTCAGTATTTTATTGTTTCTTCCAGAGATTTTTAAAGTCTGGTTCTAGAGTGTATCTCTCAGTTTTCTAGTCTATAGTAGGATTTTCAAGCTGACTACCATGTCTTACTCAGAAAGACAAGGCTACATAGCTTTCCACATTGAGGATATGCTTTCATTTCATATTATGTGGTATATGATATTATTGGAAATTTAGAATAATTTTTCATCTTATAACAAATACTTTGTAGTATTTGGCTAAAAATACAAAATTTTGATTAATCTTTAATCCTTCACTTGGTATATATTTGCAAATGTGTAATTGTTGTGTCAGTAGGTATTCATAGATGTTTATTCTTAACTTTAAGTTTTTGTATTGGCACATACTTTCAGGAAACATTTTACTTATGTACTAAGACAGATTCCCCACTCTTTGTAGTGTTATATGTATGATAGGTGATCGTATTTTAATTTTTTGAGACACATATACATTATTATAATTTCAGAAGAAATCTAGAAAATGTTAAAACATTCTAATTTAGATTTTACCTTAAAATATGAAAATTTTAAATATGTAATAATATTTGATTGTGTAATTTAATGAGTAATTATTATGATGGTTAATTGATATTTAATAATATTTAATCGTTATAATTAAAGGTTTGATCAATATTATTTAATTATGTAAATATTGCATATGTAATACTATTTATATTTAAATATTTAATAATGCTTAAATATGCATTGATATGGTAGCAGAAAAGCAAATTTTAATTCAAATATTCATCTTGGTTGATGTAAACACCTAGGAAAATACTAAGTGCCAGCTTTTTGGTTGCCATGTGCAAATCATTTTCCTTTCTGTAACCTTTTTTTTTTTTGGTCAGTCGTGGGGCTTGAACTCTGGGCCTGGGCGCTGTCCCTCAGCTCTTCAGCTCAAGGCGAGCGCTCTACCACTTGAGCTACAGCGCCACTTCCGGTTTTCTGGTGGTTTATTGGAGATAGGAGTCTCACGGTCTCTCCTGCCCAGTCTGGCTTTGAACCGCGATCCTCAGATCTCAGCCTCCTGAGTAGCTAGGATTACAGGCGTGAGCCACCAGCGCCCGGCTTTCCTTTCTGTAACCTTAAGATAGATCATTTAACCTTCTTTGGTTTCAGGGGAAAGAAAAACTTGCTGAAAAATGTTGCATAACTTGATTTGAATTGGAGAAAGGGAAGCTTATCATTTCTTTCTTCTCCTATTCTCTCTGTTTTTTAATTGGAGTTTTCTACTTGCTATTGTACAAAGATCAACACCTCCAAGATATAAATGAATTGAAGCCTGGATAAGAGTTTTGAATGTCTGAAGTTTGGGGACATACATTTTCCATTTTAGAATGGAAATATCTGTGATTCTAAAGGCATAAAAATACTTTTCAGTCACCTACAATGATGCAATTAGATGTAGGGAGTTTTATATTCTACTTAAGATTAATGCTTGTTTAACTTGTGTATCTATTCAGAGACATTTGTCCTACATAGAAGAAATAACACTCTTCAAAGTGTATAGCAGTCTCAGTATTCAGATAAATAGACTTTTTGTTTGATGTTTAACTTGTTTTAAATATTGGGAAATTCCTGGACCAGGTGCTGATGGCTCACACTAAAAATCCTTGCTACACAAGAGGCTGAGATCTGAGAATTACAGTTTAAAGCCAGCCTGAACAGGGTAGTCCATAAGACTCTTATCTTCAGTTAATCAGCAAAAGACTGGAAGTGGAGCTATGGCCCAGAAAAGCTCAAGAACAGTGGCCAGGCCCTCAGCTCACGCCCCAGGACTGGCACACAAAAAATACTATGGGAAATTTAAAGTATATATAGAAGGCAACAATAAAAATTCAGTATTGTGCTTATCCTTGTTTCTTGCTATTTTCACAGTCCAGTGTTTCACTGACTGTCATAGGAAGAGACTTTATCTTAGAATTCTAATGTATTTTGCCTATTTCTCCAAATGACCATTTATTAGAAATCAGGTCTGTTTATTCTCCATTTTGATTTTGCTTTCGATTAAGGTTTCATTTTCTTGTGCTTATCTCAAACTGAATCTAGTAGTCACTGGGGTGCTTATTTTCATTTGATCCCCATGCACTCATATGAAATAATATTGAATGTCATTGCCTGGTTAATGATAGGTATGTGGAAGTCATAAATGGTTGTTAGAAAGTGTTACCTTGAAAATGCAGTTGCTATTCAATCCTTTGAAATGTTTCAATGTTTTCAAAGGCCAATACTGAGTCTCATGCATATTCAGAAAAAGGGTTCTTTCATTATTTGAGCCAAAATTAGTATGCAGAGGCACAATCTCCAATTTTCTTAATTTCTTCCTGTAATTGAAATTTGTGTTGTAGTTTCTGGTCTCTCTTAGGGAGCTGATCCCTTCTGTAGTAACCCAGATGGTCCTCCTCAAATACACGCTTTGTATATTTCCAGGCATTTAAAAATCCATTTAACAAATACATGCAGGGCTTTCTCTTTCTTTCTTTCCTCCTTTCTTTCTCCCTCCCTCCCTCTCTCTCTTCCTTCCTTCCATCAGTTATGGGACTTGAACTCTGGGCCTGAGAGCTGTCCATCAGCTCTTCAGCTCAAGACTAGCGCTCTACCACTTGAGCTACAGCGCCACTTCTGGTTTTCTGGTGGTTTTTATTGGACATAAGAGTTTCACAGACTTTCCTGCCTGGGCTGGCTTTGAACCATGATCCTCAGATCTCAGCCTCCTGAGTAGCTAGGATTACAGGTGTGAGCCACCGGTACCTGGCTAAGGGCTTTCTTTTTTAAATGTCTACTGCTTACACACACACACACACACACACACACACACACACACACACACACACACACACACACACACACACACACACACACACACACACACACCACATTCCAGAGCATTGAAGAGGTTTATATTTTTGTTTTGCTTCGTTTCCTTGAGTCAAGATCTGACTGCATAGCCCATTCTGGCCTCACTACTGAGGTGGAATGATAGGCATGCACCACCATGTCTGCCTGAGGGGCCATTCTTTTTAAAATCTGGAATCACTAGGGTGAAGGTGAGTTAAGTAGGAAATTGATTGAGCTGGGGTCAAAGATGTGCAGTTACTTAAGCATTAAATCCAAATAGCACACTAGATTCTGGGGTGAAGGCCAAGAGAATATTTTTTGCTTTGGCACTGGAGTTATGCAAACAGGGTTTCATGACTGAGAAAGTAAACTTGTACATTGGTGGTTTGTTTTTTTGTTTTTTGTTTGTTTTTTTTTGTAGGTTCAAAAAGGCATTTGAATCTGAGCCAACACTACAGTCCGGAATTAACTATGCTGTTCTCCTCCTGGCAGCCGGGCACCAGTTTGAATCTTCTTTTGAGCTTCGGAAAGTTGGTAATTGTAGCTTTGAGATTTTACGTGGAAATCAAGAAGTTAGACTCAAACTTGGTACCATGAAAAAGAACCGTTAATAGACTCTCTTGCTTTCTATCTCACCTGACTTCTGGAAAAATAGGTGTATTCTCCTTGCTTGGTATTTTACACTATTGTGAAGAATTCTGATATTGGGATGCAGTTCAGTTTTCATTTGTTTTTACCTGTTTCTAAAAGTCCTTGGTTAGTATTTATTATTCCAGGTCAAATACTATCTACCATGTGGGCTTTATTACATTCAGCCTCCAACTCCCAAATCAGGTTAGGATTTTGTGGAACATTGGGGATGCTCTCTATTTAAGCTGGTGTTTTCCTGGTGCTTTAAAATGGAAACAAACACACAAATCTTTCTTACTTCCTTTTCCTGTGTCTCAAGCACACGTGTTCCAGAACAGCAGGTCAGGTAGAGGACAGTCTGCAAAAGCCATCTCTGAAGTGTATCCATTGATAGAATACAGCTTGGTCTTTTAGATCTGTTTTTGATCTGTTGACATTGATCTGACCCTTCTTTGGAATATAAAAAATTAGACCATTTTTGAGGCATATTTAGTGTGATTTCCTGGTTTTGACTTTAATGACTTCTTTTTACGTGGTGGTCCTAGGGGTTTCCTATCGGGTAATGCCCTTTTGCCATGGGTGTGTGTTATATTATAACCTCCCTGTATCCACCTCCCAAAGTAGCTAGGATTACATACAAACATCCACAACTGTGCTAGCTTTTTGCCTGTCTGGCCTCACAGTAGCTGCTATTATATGGATGTGCTACCATGTCTGGCTACTGATAACCACCATCACCACCACCACCCCTAAGATCCTAGAAAACATATTTTGTTCTCTTGAGTATCCCTTTCAGAGAACCATTCTAAGTCAGTCTTACTACAGATGCATAGTGTTTGGCCTTAATTCTCAGAAGGTCAAAAACTTTGATCTTAATGAAACTATTTATTGTAAAAAGAACTGTTTCCTTTAGTATTTTGAGCTGGAGACCGTTTTCTTTGATTTTTCTCTAAGATAAATGAACCCTGGGCCTCTTTTGTTGTTGTTGGTTGGTTGGTTGTTTTGTTTTTTGAATATTTTTTGAGAAGGACTTAGAAAACATCCAAATGTAATATTTTGGGAAAGTTTTGAGAATAAATAAAGTCAGAGTATAGTATTAACTATTCTAAAAGTCCCAGGCCAAACAAATGCTAAGGTATCGTGGTAACTATGGCTGGATTGCAGTACTAGTGAAGGTAGAAAGCAGAAAGCTTGATTTGGAATCATTTTTTTATTGTGGGGCTTGCACTCAGGGTACTGTCTCTGAGCTTTCCACTCTTGGCTAGCACTCTACCACTTTGAACCACAGCACCATTTCAGTTTTCTGGTAGTTAACTGGAGATAAGAATCACGGTCTTTCCTGCCAAGGCTAGCTATGAACCTTGATCCTCAGATCTCAGCCTCCTGAGTAGCTAGGATTATAGGCATGAGCCACCAGTGCCCAGCTGCAATAATTTTTCATTTGGCGAACTGAATGAATGAAAAAAATTCACTGTAATTTGTGCTTTTTAGAAATCCTACTACCATGTTGTATCTTAGATTCATGTAAAAACTCTCCATTAGTATTTATATAGTAATACTCCTTCTCTGACAAGGTCTAAACATCCTTTTTGCTACTCTGTTCTTGAGCTCTAAATCCTCAACAAGACTCAATATAGTTTTACAGACGTAGGTAGAAGTAACAGCAGTGGGTTGAAAATGCACTTTTCTAAGTCTCACTTTCTTAGCACTTGAAGGTTTGAAGAAATCAGCTATAACCTGAGGAAGTAAACGTACTTGAATTTTCCCAAGAAAACTTCATCTAACATGTTAAATAAGCATTTGTCACATACGAAATTGAATTTAAAATTTGGGAGCTGCACTACACACACACACTTAAAATATGACTTGATAAATTTTAACTACTGAAATAATTAAGTTTGTCTTCTAAAACACTGTTATACACACTAAATTGTGTACCCTTTAAGTATGGGAAAAAATAGCTCCCTAGTTTACAATCTGTTTAATCACAAATGATAGTAATCATAATAGGTTGACCTAAAGTTAATTTTTTTTAATGATACTGAGGACTGAACATAGGCCCTCACACTTGCTATACAAGCATGTCTGAACTTGAACCACTTTCTTAGTCCTTTTATTTATTTATTATTATTATTACTTTTTGATGTGGTCTTATGCTTTTGCCCAGGCTGGTCTTGGACTTCAGTCTTTCTACTTCTGCCTCCCAGAAGCTTGGATTCACTACCATGCCCAGCTAAAGTTAATTTTTATATGGTAAGATAGTATTCAATTGATTTTCAGGAAAAGACAGGTTGGCTAAGGAAATTAATAGGCTAATACAATGGCATAGTTTATACAAAAATGAAACTATTAACATATTTGACTTATTATAAACATATATAATTACATTCATTCTTTAAGTGCTATAACCAAGTTTTCCACAATTTTATGCCTCCTCCTATGCCCCTTGTTGGCCTCTTACTTTGAATTACTAAGTAATTACAATATTTAGACTTTTTTTGGCACAGAACCTTACTATCTAGGTAGACTGGTCTGTAACTCATTATGAAACCACGATGGGCCTATGCTACCATGTCTGACTAATTATGCATTTTTTATGAAATCCCTTCTTTAGCTGTTTTTTGAAGTTTTGATTTATTTATGTCAGGAAAACAATTAAAACTAAAATGTCATGAGATGGACAATAAGCTTGAGGTTTTCTAAACATATTCTCTTAAGTTTAAATCTCTAGTATAAGAAAAACCCTATTTCCTGTCATAATCTGTTGCCAAAGATTCTATTTCTTCATTTTATATTGCTGTAACACATGTTTATTTAGCTAATGGTTTTGAGAACAGTTTTGGTGGCCTCATGGGCTTGGCTTCTAGTAAGGGCCCCTGTAGCTACATCACACTACAATCTGTGTCATCCTGGAGAAAGTACCTGCATGAGTGAGAGACCACCAGTGAAGCAGAAAGCCAGATAGTAATTCATGGGCCAGTTTGCTTTTATTTTAAAAAAAAAATCATTCTCAGGGGAGCCCAGCAAGATCCTAAGAGAGCCATGCTGATCTCTTCTGATAGTGAGGACAGCATATCCAATGACCTACCTGCTTCCCACTGAACTCTACCTCTTAAAGGTTCAAATATTTTCCCATTGGAGGCCAAGCTTCTAATACATGGGCCTTTGAGAGATACAGTGAAGCAAATCCAAAACCATCACAAATTCTTAATGTTAGTTGTGGGCATTACTAAATTGCTTCCCAAGTTGTGAAGAATCATTGGTGTTTAGACTTTGTAGAAGTAGGATTTAAAATTCAGAATGACACTCTACATTGCTTTTTTTTAGTTTCACAAGTCTTATTAATATTCAGATGTCAACTAAATGAAAAAAATTTTCTATCTACTCTGCATTTTTTTTTTAGCCACAGGACATTTTATGAGAGAGTCAAAATTATAGGTTTGGGTCCCCAGTAGCAATGATTTAGGGCAAGAACTGTGTGTTTGGAATTGATACAAATCACCATTTGAATCTCATTTTCAGTGGTACTAAGAATTACTAAATATAAAATTTATATTGCTGAGTATAAAAATTTATGAGTTTATAATCAAGAAAAATTTAGTACAGTCAGGCTGTAGTGACTAACACCTATAATCCTAGCTACTTAAGAGATTGTTTCAAAGTCAGCCTGGGAGAAAAGTCTAAGACTAGCAAAAAGCTAGGCAGGAGATGTGGTTCAAATGATAGTGTACCATCCAAGCAAAGAAAGTTTAGGTAAGAGTGAGGCTCTGCGTTTAAATCCCAGTCCTGAAAAAAAATCAATATAGAACCAAAATTCATCACCAACCACAGAGAACTCTTGTCAGGTATAGAGATGGTTGATTACTCAGAAAATTGGTAAATTAAGTACATCTCTTTCATGTTTAGAAGATTCTATAGCTTGTCCATTGATGAAGTATAGCTCTTCTGTTATTCTACATATTAAATGCTACATAAAAATTAATAAAGACAACATTCTTCTAAAGAATACTGATTACTAAAATAAAATGAATGATAAAGCTGATAATGATAGCGATTTTACAGTAATTGTCTGTCTGGCAATTGGTGTCACCAGTTAGAACTAATACCATTTAGTGAAAAACTAAAAAAAAAAAAGTAAATCTTACCATACTTACCTATATCAAAGCAAACTGGTAGACTTCTCAGTATTCACAAAGGAACAAAAGTATCTGTGTAGTGGAAGGATTTAGCCAACTAACATTAGGCCAGACTAACATTATTATTTTAAGGAATTATTATTATTATTAGGATTACTAGTTTGATGATGTTTTAGGCATCCTTTGTGAAATATTCTCGCCAAAAATGTTGAACTAGCATGTTAAGATTTAATATTCACTCAGTATGAATCAGAAGATGAAAAATAAGTTATGCAACACCATGAAGTGCTATCAAACATCCAAAATATGAATAAAAGACATCACTCCTCGTCTTTTCAAAAGGAATCTGCATCATAGAAAAAAATCATGGAAGATAAGTTAGATTGAAAGAGATTTAGAGAAATAGAAACCAAATGTAATGAAATGACTCATGGTTTGGAAAAAATATCTATAGAGACATTTGGGGAGCAATTAGGGAATTTGAGATAGGGTTAGATACTAGGCAATAAGAGGATATTATTTTCTGTAGGTATGATATAAGATATAAAGGAGATTTTTAAGGATTCTTGTAATATTTAATAGTGAAACATCATAATGTCTGTAATTTGATTTACTGGTTGACCAGTAACATTCAGGGAGATAAAGCAATCATATAATATCAACAATTCTTGGAAAGATAGATAGACAGACAGTGCTGAAGGTAAAACCCAGTACCTTCTTCATTCCAGGCAAGTACTCTATCAGTGAACTGCATGCCCTAGCCCCTCATTGTTGTATATTTTCTCTTTTCATGTGTTTGAAATTCTTCATAATAGAATGCTAAAATGAAAGGTTTGTGTCACCACCACTTACAATAAGTTGCTACTTCTCTGGACTTGGTTTTCTTCTCAACACTTTCAACATGGTCAGTGTGAGGTATAAAATGAGTATTCAATAAAAACTCTGTTTTCTGCCTTTTTCCATAAAAACAACCCTGAATCCATTAGCTACAACGTGATGAAACTATAAAAAAAACTAAACTATTGAAAAATCCTTGGTATTTAGAAGTCAACCATTTCTAAGGAGACCTGTGTCATAATTTAAGTTGAGCTAATAGACAATTCAATCAAAAAAATAGTGTGATTCTGTTTAACTGACAAGGACATACCAGTAATTGCTTATAAATTTAGCAAAATTCTTTTACAAAGAGAAAAAAATACCAAGCTGGCAAGGACTTGGGGAAAAAGTGTAATTGTACATCAGAATGGAGCTTTATACAGTTAGCTGTGTAGATCAAGAGTCTTAAAAAATAGTATAGCCTGAAACTACGTTTAACACTTCTGAAACTATATTTTCTGTGAATAATACTAAACACAGACCAGATTTTAATGTACTAAGAGCTGAATATATTCTGTGTGTGTATGAGAGAGAAAGAGAAAGAGAGAGAGAGAGAGAACTCCTAAATTTAAGAAAGTAGAATCGTGTTCTTTTTCTTGACTCCATTCTTTTTTGGTAACAACAGAAACAATAAAATGTATTAGAAATCTTTAGTGCAGCAAATTTGAGAATTCTTCAAATAAGGTCAACTATGGATATAACTGTCCTCTCCTGTTTGGCTTTAAGTAAAAGCTTCAATAAGGGAATCAGAATTTGTTCTCCCTTCCTTTCTCTCCTCCTTTTTCTTCTCATTTTTATTACCTTTTAATTTTTTTATTAATTTATAACTCGTTTACCTAGGAGTCTTAATTCCAGGAGTAAGGTTATTAGTGCAATGCATCTTGATTAATATCACCCTTTCCATCTTTCTCCTCCATCTTTCCAATATTAACACATTTTGATTAAAATCTGCTAGAATTTCAGCCTATCAAACAAGGAAGTTTCCCTTTCAGGTCATAGAGGTTGTTCACCAATTCCAACTTTTTGTGGTTAATGGAAGATAAGAGTCTCATGGACATATAAAGCAACAAAGAAATAATCCTATAAATTTGTTAGAAACAATCGCATGAAAGAAAAAAAAAACATTTGAATACATATCTTAGGGTTCATTTCCCTAACATCACCTTATCTGACCTTTTCTGCTTGACTCAGACATATACTAGATATTGCAAATAAGGGAAACCATGGGACCACAGTATAACCCCTGCTTTCACTGTGTTTGATGTCGGTATAATTTGTGGAGGGGAAGGGGAAAAACAAATCGTTTAAATAGGGATATAGGTGGACCCATTGCAACAATGAGATGTACAAGTCGTTATGTCAAAAACGAACTTTACAACTTTGGTGTGGGGTGGGGAGGGGGTGGGAGGAATGGGGGGAGCAGGGGGAGGATGGGAAGGGATGGGAAGGGAAACAAAGGAGGAGGCTACAATGCTTGATAAGAAATGTACTCATTATCTTGCCCATGTAATTGTAACCCCTTTGTATAGCATTTTCACAATAAAAATAAAGTAAAAACAAAAAAAGTCTCATGGATTTTAATGCCCAGACTGGCTTCAAACAATGATCCTCAGATCTCAGCTTCCTGAGTAGCTAGGATTACAGGTGTGAGCCATCAGTACCCAGTTTAATTTGGCTTTTTAATGAAAACTTAGCTGTACCTGTTAGTGTCATGTGCTTGTAACATTCTACTTCTGGTTCATTTTCTAGGGGTGAAGCTAAGTAGCCTTCTTGGTAAAAAAGGAAACTTGGAAAATCTGCAGAGCTACTGGGAAGTTGGATTTTTTCTGGGAGCCAGTGTCCTAGCCAATGACCACCTAAGAGTCATTCAAGCATCAGAAAAGCTTTTCAAACTGAAGACACCAGCATGGTAACAATAAACTCTCATGTGTTTATACAGTTCTTCTAAATAAATAGTCTCATAGTGTTCCCATATTTTATGTATTGAACTATAATTAGGTAATTTTACTTTTAGAATAAAATCCAGAATCTTAAAGAAAAATGTCAGGTCCATAAAGAAATTGTGCAGAATATAAGGTCTGATGATTTTAGAAGGTGATCAACCAGTCACTTATGTAGCCTTTCCTCCACATGGTTCAGTGTACAGGGCCAGCTAGGCCAATGTCACTCATGTGAAGCAGGCCAAGGCCACATATTCTGTACCTCCAAGTCTGATCCATATCTAGAACCTGAGATCACAAGTCCATCTCAGACTTGCTGGGCTGTGTTCCACACATATGCCCATTGTTCCTTCAGGAAATCCATGTTTTCTTAGTTTTAAAAGCCTCATTCATAGTTTTCATTCCCTTTTACTTGGAGTATGCCAAAGATACAGAAGTGTTTCCCATGTCTGTGTGATTATTTTATGATGTCACATTGTTCTTGGAATGAGCCCAGCTCTTATTATCTGTGTGGTAGTGGAGAGATGAAAACAAACTTCCAGGTGCATTTAAGGCCATTGGGAAAAACAATATTAACACTTTTGTGTATCCCATAAAATGACTGAACATCACCTATGAAGTCTTGAAAAGATGAACAAAGATGCAGAAAAGGGATATTTTCAGAGAAGCTCCATGCAGAGGCTCCGACTGGCCTCATCCTGGAAGCCTTTGAAGAGATGGCCACCACAGGATGGCCCTCATGGCTTCCTGCAGGACTTCCTCACAGTCAGGCCTCCTTTAGTTTTCCCTGTAACACTAGGAGTACAAGTCTGACCTTTCTCCTCCACTGAAATCCTTCAATCAATACAGTTTAATGGCTCCTCACAGCCTGAGGGCTAAAGTCCACCTTCTTGACTCAGCAAACAAGATTTTTCCCTCAGCCATCCAGTGTCAGCTCTTGTCACGCTCAGGGGCTGCAGTGTTCTCTCCTCAGAGTCCACACAGCCACGTACAGTGTCTTAGCACCTCCCTAGGGCACCTCTCCAGCCCTTTTATTCAACTGGGAAACATTCCTATAGCAATCACATCTGCAGATAGAGCAGACCTTGACTTAAAAATGACTTCATGCCCAAGTCCCTTCTTTCTTATTTCTGATGTCCTTTAATTTTATTTTAGATATTTAAATATTTTATTATTATCTTTAAATAGTGGTACAAAGGAGTTGCCATTTAACAAAACAATTTATGAATACAGTATGCCTTGATTAATGCTATAAAAACTTAATTAGGCCTTTTAATGTTGACTGAATTGTTTAGCGGTGTCTATTTAGTCATATTGCCACTGATATTTATTTATATTTGTATGCATTTGCCTCCATGGCACCGTGCACAACCTGTTAATACAGAGACTGTATTAACAGCATGATGTCAGAAAATGATATAGAGTAGATAAGTCAATAGGTTGGCTACCAGTATAGCCAATTGAAAAGAAGTGGCTGAATATCTTTAGCCAAATGCTCTATTTCGTTCCCATGAGTGTTCTAATAACAGAGAAGGAAACTTAAGACACAGCAGAAAGCTTTGGCTTTAGGTATTTTGACTTCTGTTAGCAAGAAAACAGATACCATCTTATGAAATAGTAAAAACTGCCAGAAGGCAATGCCTTTGTTCCATTAACAGTATTTGTGGCCAGTTAACTTACATGTTTATGGTCTACAAAGTACTTACTTAGCCATTATCGTATGTCATTATCTTGCTCTTCATATTTCCTAAGCTTTTCCTTATCTTTGTATACTATAGAATGCCTGTTGTTTCAGAGCAAACCAATCTCTTAGGTAGGGTCTGTTTCAGAAAGCTTCCTCAAAGGAACATATTTTAAGGCAAATGCATTCCCCCCATTCTTTACTTGATAGACTGTAGCTATATTATAGTCATGTAAGAAGATAATTGGCCTAATCCAGTTGACTTAAACCCTATAAATCTCAGATTCCTCATCACTGAAATGAAGATAAAGCCTATTTTGTTAAATTTTATGAGCTCTAAATGGGATAGTATATAAAGATACATGATATAACAATGAATAATTTGATGAATATGAATATGTAATTATTGATTTCATTTATAAACTATAGTTGAAGATGGACTCATAGGGACAGGTGGTCCCAAATTTATCTGTTATATGTTCTGATATATGTTGTGATTCTTTTAATCCTCAGGTACCTCAAGTCTATTGTGGAGACAATTTTGATATATAAGCATTTTGCAAAACTGACTACAGAACAGCCCGTGGCCAAACAGGAACTCGTGGACTTCTGGATGGATTTCCTGGTGGAGGCCACAAAAACAGATGTGACTGTAGTTAGATTTCCAGTGAGTACCTTTGATTGGAATAGTTTGTTTCTGTCATTTCTTGTCTTTAAACAACATCTTGTGAAGCCATATGCCTGTGGCTCACTCTGTAATCCTACCACTCAGGAGGCTGAGGTCTATGGATCCTGTTTCAAAGCCATCTTGGGTAGATAAATCTGAGAGGCTCTTACCTCCAATTAACCAGCAAAAGCTGAAAATGGAGGTGTGGCTCAGGTGGAAGAGCACTAGCCTGGAGTACAAGAGCTCAAGGCTATTAGTTCAAGTCGTAGAATTGGCGCGCGTGCACACATGCACCGATGGATACTCTTAAATTCTGCACTTTTGTTGACATGGTCTCTAGGATTATTGTCATATTTGTGGTGAAAATTATCAGGCTTAGCATTGTTATTTCATCTCTAGTCCTCATTCCTCAGGGGTCCAGATTACTCAGGTAGATCAGAAATACTCATATAATATTTCTAGTCTATGTTTGCAATGCTTTGACCATTGTTTGAGGTGTGAAAATCATTTTGTCTAGTCTCTAGCAGACTCTGTGTTGTATATATGTGTGTGTGTGTGTGTGTTCACAGATGTAAACACACACATACACACTTTTTAAAAATGAATTCTTCTTCTCAGCTGGTGCCAGCCCCATCCTGATTACACTCAGAACATCACAGTAAGGAATATGGAGTTGGCATCCAATTGAGGCATTACTGGCACTTCACTGTGAGCACAGCTCTTCTCATGTCCAAACGATGCCATAAAACTCTTGTTTTGAGCTCTATCATCTAAGTCCTCTGTACTCAGAAGTGGTGACAATTCTAGCTGCTGTGGATGAGATTGTTTTCTTCATTTAATTAAATCCATCACTGGTATTAGCAGCTTCCAGAAAAAGCCTTGAACTCAGCAGGATCCTTAATTGAAAAGCCTTTTAAACTAAAACACTTCACTTTATTTTCTAGTCTGGATAAGTGTAGCCTAGGAAAGTCCTTATCTTGGAGTGAGCTGGCAGCTTGCCTTCAGTTTGTGCTGTGAGTAGCAATAAATTCTGTGGTGAATGAAGAGAGCACACAGCAGGAGGATTTCATTGACTGTTGACTTGATGACTAGAAAATTGACCATGAAAGGAAAAAAATATATATTTGCCACTTTGAACTAATTTAAATTCATTCAATACAAATTAGTGTTATAATGTAAATAATGATATTAAAAAACAGAAAATATTAAGTGAGAAATTTTGAAGTCAGGTGTAAGTTCCAGTTTAGACTGGAATTTGATTTCATTAAAAAATGAAGGATCACAAATAAAATAAAATTAAATTAAAAAAAAAATGAAGGATCTAGGGGGTGTAGCTCAGTGGTAGTGACTTGCCTATCATGCATAAAGCCCTGACTTCAATTCCAAGCACTCCTCCTCCCAAAAAAGGAAAGAAAAATTTTTTCAATAAAACACCATAAGCATGGAATTCATGGGTTAATGCAAAGTAGTTTGTGTTGAATCTGGAGCATTTAATGTAAATGTTGTAAAATGGTTAGTTTGCGTAAAATGCAAAAAGAAAATCCTTCTACAAATTGATAAGCAAAAAAGGAGTATATCATATAAAAATAATTAACTTTACCATGTAGTCAAGTAAATAGAAATTAAAATGTTACACCATTTTTTGCCTATTGGCCTCAGATAAATAAAAGGTTTACAACCATTGACAAAGGCATGAATATAGGGACTTTTCTTTAAAATGCTGGTGGGAATCAGAATTGGGAAGCCACATGGAGGGAAGGAAACAGTAGGACAGTGGGAGGGACATGGGGACTTCTGCTTTATTCAGAATAGGAGATGAATGTTTTGTTATCTGTAGTCTGAAATTACAAGGTGATTGTTGTTACCTTGAAAACTTATTCATAGCATACTGTTGAATTCTTTTTGCTGCAATCCATCTCCATCTGCACTTAGAACCAAGTGGTTTGTTCGGAGCTCTCTTGGTGAAGAGAGTCTAAGACACAGGATTTTGGATTTCTACTATTTCTCCATCAGAATTTATGACTTGAGCATTCAAAATCACTTTCCCCCTGTTGATGCTTGTATGGGGTACAAAATTATACTAAGAATATAGGTTTTTTTTAGCTCTTTTATGATGGAGCCTTTTTAAAAAATTTTTTGGGATGCTGGGAATTCACCTTGTCTTAAACATGCCTGGCAACTAATCTACCACTGCACTATACTCACAAAACCCACAACATGTAAATTTTGTTTTGAGGTAGTCTCAATATATTGCCTAGACTGGTCTCAAACTTGAGATCATCTTGCCTCAGCCTCACAAGTAGCTGAGCATAAAAAAATGCATGTGTAGCTGAATTCCTTATAATTATTTCATCTTGTATGAATTCTTAACAAGAAAATGTTAAGTCTATTAAATGGTCCAGTTCAATAGAAATTATCTTATGATTAACCTCTTGAATCTTTTCTCATATTTACATGTATGATTAAGCCCTTCAGAAACTACAAAGATATTGTTTAAAATTAGTAAAAATAGCCAGTGGTTTATGCCTATAATCCTAGCTACTCAGGAGGCTGAGATCTGAGGATCACAGTTTGAAGCCAGCTCTAGAAGGAAAGTCCAAGAGACTATCTCTAACTAACCACTAAAAAGCCAGAAGTGGAGCTGTGGCTCACATGGTAGAGCACTAGCCTTGAACACAAAAGCTCAGGGCCCTGAGTTCAAGTCCCAGGACCAGGATAAAAAAAGAGAAAACATATGGAGTTAAAAAATTCAATATAGACAAGAGTGTATACAATGGCCAAGTTATGGAACCAGCCCAGATGCCCTACAATTGATGAGTGTATCCCAAAAAAATGTGTTACATATATACAATGGAAGTTTACATAGCTATTAGAAAGAATAATATTATGTGATTTGCAGGTTGTGTTCTGGACCTAGAACAAATCATGTTAAGTGAGGTAAGCCAAGCTCAAAGAGACAAACAGTGCACATTTTCTCTTATATGCAGAAGTTAGATCTAAAATATGCCAGGACATGATAAATTATATAGGATTCTAGGCATTCACACAGTGAGATCAAAGGAGGATATTCTAAGGGGAGGAACACAAAAGTACATTGCCTCTGTGCCTATGAACATATAAAATGATATTTATCAAAATGAACTCCAGGAAATGGAAACAAGAGGATTTTTTTTTACTTGTTCCTTTCTTGTCTTGTTTGTTCATTTTTCTGTCTTTGGAGGGGGTGGTATGGGAAGGCACAAAAATGGAGGGACATAGGGTGAACACAAGCAGCAGTGGTCCTTAATAGAAACAGTGTTGAAAATGAACTGTATACTATGTGCATGCTGAAATGGAGGGAACAAGGGAAGGAGTGATATTGTCCAAAAAGAAATGTACTACTTGTGACATGGTAATTGCTCTGTACGTCACCTTTAGAATAACAAAAATGTTAAAGAGAGAGTGTAACAAAAAAGAAGACCAATATGTGAATAATAAGTTATGATCACTTCTGGAATTTCTTTTGTAGACATGATAGAGGATCAGTCCCTGATTTATCTTATGAAACTTCTGTGGCTCACACTTACTCAGGTTGCGGGAGGAAGAGGGGTGGTCTGGATTAGGACCATCACAGTATCCTTCTGTTGAAGCTGATCTGATGAAACACCAGGATATCCTATAGGAGAAAATATTTACTATGATTATGTCCATATCCATTCTTGTTTTTCCCAAAAGTAACCCAGCCCCTGGGTAAAGGAAAGTTAAGTTTCATTTGGTAAATGATTTCAATAGTCTTGTCAAATTGCCTCCTTAGCTTATTATTTATTTATTTCCTTATTTAGTTTTTATTTACTTATTTATTTTAGAACCCGTACTAGGGCTTGAACTCAAGGCAGAGCATTATCCCTTAGCTCTTTTACTCAATGCTAGCACTCCATCACTTGAGCCACAGTTGCACTTCTAGCTTTTGGGTTGTTAGTTAGAAATAAAGTCACACAGATTTTCCTACTTGGGCTGGCTTTGAATCACAAACCTTAAATCTCAGCTTCCTACGCAGCTAGTATTACAGGCATGAGCCACTGATGCCTGTCGTGTTTCCCTACAATTTCCTTTTGTCACCTCTGTAGTGTATGCTGCAAATCGCTCACATTTTGCCATTTCAGGGACAGACTAAATGGCCCAGGAAATATTAGGCAGCCATAATTAACCTTGTGTTTATTCCTATCTCAAGTTAGGAATACAGAGGGCAGATTATCTATTAAAAGCATTTGAACTAACAATAAAGAAATAATTTAACAAGAATGGAGTTCACCTAGGGCTGTGCTCCTTTGGTGGCATAATGAACTCACAGAATTAGGGAATGAAGTATAATAACCTCAACTTATGGAAGACATGTGGGTAATTTTATGTCTTCCTTATTATTATCATCATCATCACCATTATTATCATTTTGTTGGGGCTCAAGGCTAGTGCTCAAAGCCACAGTGCCACTTCCGGTTTTTTAGGTGGTTAATTGGAGATGAGTCTCATGGATTTTCTTACCGAGGCTGGCTTCAGACTGTGATCCTTAGATCTCAGCCTCCTCAGTAGCTAATATAGGTATGAACCACCAGCACCTAGCTCCTATTGTTCTTTTTTAATTTCCTCAACACTGGGTTACTCAGCTACAAAACACCATTTCTATTTACAAGATTGAGATTGAAAATCAATTTTCAGTGTTAATCAGTACCACTTAATTCTATTGGGTGGAATCTGGGCCTTAATTTACCTAGTAAGTGAATGCATTCTGAGTTTGAATATGTTCCCAGGGCCTCTTGCCATGCATTTATTTGTGGGGTGGCCTATCTTTTTTCCCAGTAGAAGAGAGAGATCTTGGCCAAAATTTCTTTGAATTCTCAAAGCTTTTTATATTCAAAGAGGAAAGAAAAATTTTGTTTTTCTAGCAGCCCTTTTCTATGTCTCTGTACAATAGCTTACATAAAAGTACTGTTATGATAAATTTAAAGTAAAAGGAATGCATTGAGTTCACGGTATGTGGCCAGAAACCAATTTTCTGACCCAGATTCTTGTGCCTTCTTGCTCATGCTGCCTTGTATATTTTAATGTATTGTGAATCTGTAATTTCTTGTTGACAGAGCCTTAGGAAAGTTTCTTTCACCTCCCTGCAATCCTCTTTTCTTCGGTAAACTTGCTTGAGTCAAAATTACTACTAAAAGTAATGTTGTTTTGAGTGTTAAAAGCAAGCAGTGGGGTTCAAAAACTTAATCTCATTTGTCTAGTGGCTTTTCTTTTTCTTTAAAAGAAAATCATTCTTACTGAAGTCTTCATTAAAAACAATGGGTCCTTAAGCATCTCTTCAAAAAGGGAGATAATAGCAATTGAAATCAGGACATGTCTGGTGTTCTAATGTCATTTCTGCCTGATGTAAGACATTCATAATATAAAGGTTTATGTGACCCTTTGATGCAGACTCTCAACTCACATATATCATGCATCTTGTGTGCTACTCCAATACAGGAGCAAAATTTAAATCTCTTTTCCTGAGCAAGGCTAAATATATCATTATTATATTGTCTTGAGAATATGGAAATATTATTTCATGGAGCTAACTCTCTTTCATTGATAACCAAGATCATTCCTAATCTGTTTTCATGGATGTGAAGACTGTACTACTACATCTTTATGATAAAGTGTGCCAGCAGGAACCCTGAAGTAAGGATGGGACATTCTGCATATGGAATCTTCCCAGTTTGGTGCACAGAATTGTTTTAAGATGTTTCTGCCTCTAACACTGCTTTTTTTTTTATAGAAAAAGATTGTGTATGCATATATAATATAAGCTTTAAAAATGTATTTAGCTTTAAAAAATGGGTGCTGGTGGCTCATGCCTGTATTCTTAGCTACTGAGGAATTTAAAACCTGGAGGACCTTTGTTTGAAGCCAGCCTGGGCAGAAAACTCCATGATACTCCATTTCTAATTAACCATCAAAATAATGAGCTGGAGACATAGCTAAAGTGGAAGAATACCAGCCTCAAGTGGGAAGCTGATCAAGCACATGAGACTCGTGACTTCAAGCCTTAGTACACACACACACACACACACACACACACGCACACACACACACACACACACGCACACACACACGCACGCACGCACACACACACACACACACACACACACTTGAAATCATGGAACTAATATAGAGGCTAAGGCCAAGTCATTTTTGATACTTGCATAATATAAAATGATCTTGGGTCTCATCCTTAGCTAAATGGGCTACTCCAGAAATGGATCTACAGCCTCATTTGACAATCTTCCACTTTAATGCTTGGGTGTTGTAGTAGCAGCTCTTAAGTAATTAAGGTCTTAAATCAATAAAATGAGTTTCTTTGTCTTTTTAAGGTATTAATATTAGAACCAACCAAAATTTATCAGCCTTCTTACTTGTCTATCAACAATGAAGTGGAAGAAAAAACAATATCCATTTGGCATGTGCTTCCGGATGACAAGGTAAATTGTGCAATTATAATATGAGTGCTAGTAATGACTTTATGCCCTTTCTAGTATTCACCTATGCTATTCAATGTCTATGTTAGTGAAGAACTTGACTGTATTTATCTTAGGATAAATACATTCCTTAATGTCAAATTTACTGAATTTGGGTTATGAACTTCACTCAGTAAAACAAATTGAACTATTTGGGTGTTTATTATAGATAGCAAAGCCATTGAAAGTATTCTCAAGATTGGAATATTTCTGTTTTATAAATTAATGCTGTATCAATGAACTTAAAATACATGTAGTAAATGATGCATACCTAATGTTCAGATGACTGTCAGAATAACGCCACTTCTAGTCTTCAGTTGATGCCATCATAGATACTATTGTATTGAGCAATTCTAAATAGCTGCCTAAGCTCACATTGGCTGTAACTCAGTGTGCTGTGCACAAAATGAGCTGGGCTGTGGGATCCCAGCTTTCAGATGGATTTTCAGTATTCTCATTCCTGTTCACAGCAGGCTTGTTCCACAAATGGGATTGGAAAAGACCTAAACCTTTCTGCTTCTGTATTTCATCAGTGGTTTCGTTGTTGTTTTTATTGTTTGTTTTTTGTTAGTTTCTTGCTACTGGTGTTTGAATTCAGGGCCTCAGCCTTACCAGGCAAGCACTGTACTTCTGTGCCATGCCTCCAGTCATGTTCTGCATTGGTCATCTTGAAATGAGGTCTTGTCTCTTACCTGGTCACATGACTGGACTATTACCTACTTTTTTTAGGCTTCCCATCATAGCAGGGATGTCAGGTGTACACTTTCATGCCCAGCTTCTTCTATTTGTTTGTTTGTTTGTTTTTATGCTAGTCCTGGGGCTTGAACTCAGGGCCTGGATGCTGTCCCTGAAATTCTTTTTCTCAAGGCTAGTGCTCTACCACTTGAGCCACAATGTCACTTCCAGGTTTTTCTGAGTAGTTTATTGGAGATAAGAGTTTCACAGACTTTCCTACCCAAGCTGGCTTCAAAACACAATCCTCAGATCTCAGCCTCCAGAATAGCTAGGATTATCGGTGTGAGCGACCAGTGTCCATCTGCCCAGCTTTTTTAATTAAAATGGCTTGACTCCACATCTAATCATGCACAGACAAATCGAGAATAATCAATGTAATTATGTTATTAATAGTGTTTTAATGTGCTGTGCTACATGTACATTGCTTTACAAGTATATGCAGACCTGTTCTCACAAGTTTAGTAATCATGCAAATGAAGCTACAGAATCAGAGATGAATTAGGCGATGGGATATAATGGAGCTAGAGCAATACTAGGAGTGATTTTCAAGGGCTTGATTGGAAAGAGCGGGGTTATACCAGGACACTTGGAAACAGAAGGGGCTAAGGAATTAGTGATTAGCAAAGCTCAGAGGATGAGTGCAGAGCCAGAAGAATTTGGAAGACACAAAAAGAGCAGAGAGTAGGCCAGAAAATTCTGGAAAATAAGTACTATTTCCAGTGAGCTGTTACTGTCTGTCATAACTGAAGTTCTCCATTGGTGAAGTAAGCCTCTATTCATTTCTTTATGCTTTGTGACATTTAGGGATAATTTTTTATACTAAGGAATAAATACATTGGGATGTAATCCAGTACATTAGGAAAAGCTACAAATTTGAGCTATGAGTTATCTAGTGCCTATTTTCACCAACCTTTGATCAAGAAGAAAAACATTTGATTTCTTCCCATTGGCAGTAATCTTCAGGACTAAAATGAATTCTCCTTCAAAAATTAAAGTTTTCATAAATCAGTTTCAGTTTGATTTTTTGTTGATTTACATGTAAACTCTCAAGTTTATCCATAGTGGATTTATTCTGTCACTTTACATATGTTTTAAAAAATTGAAGTAAAATTGAAAGGAAGACTAGCAATAAAAGTAAGAGTTTTATTAGCACCATGTTAGTTTAAGATGACTGTAAAACTGTATTAAGTAAGATAAGCAACTAGTTTAATAAGTCTTACATTAAACAGGAAATGGATTGCTTTTGACACACAATGTCATATTTTTTTCTAAAACTAACACAGAGAATGTTGCCTTTCATTTCTTACATTGATCTTTTTACCCTTCCTCAGCATTTTGTACTGTAAAATGCTAATGAGAATATACTTTATATTTCAGTTTTTCACAACGTTAAGCACATTATGTACCAATTCCCCAGGGACTCTTCGAATCTAAACCTACTTTATATTCAGAGGCAAAATTAATTGAATCCCAATCTCATCCACAATCGTCTGCTTAAAATCGGTTAGTACTTGAGAACATTGCAAGGGTACAATGAAAACAAAACTAGATTGAGAGAGAGAGAAGTTACAAAGCATTTTAAATAGTTGTGATTTAGAATTGTCTCCTTTTACGGTTAAAGTTTAAGCATGCTTGGACTATCTGGTAGCTTCTCAAGCACAAGCAAGCAGGTGGCATGGGCCCAGAGAAGTACAAAGGCCACCCCTCCTCCCTTACCCTAGCTCCGGCCTGTGGTCACCCAGAGAACAACCAGGGAACAAGTGATAGGAGAATGTCTATTGTGATCAGTGCTATCCATTCAGCTACAAAACTCCCAAGTGAAACAGTTCAAAGAACAGGAAATGGTATTTCATGTCACAAGAAACTCTGAAATGGAACTAACTGAAGGAGATTTCGGTATCAGCATTCAGAGATGGTGTGTCTACATAGCCTTGGTTGTTTTCTCCTGATCTTCCATAGCTGTTTTAAGCATTGCCACGTAGGGATCTCCTCCCTCCCTCCCTCCTACAAAATGCTCTATCAGGTAGCCATGCCTGAATCAGTCTGCAGCAGGAAATGGACTTAATGTGGCCCAGTTGGACTAAATCAATTTTACTGTCCCATCTGAACCTGAACAAAATATAGTTTTTGGTAGCAAAAGAAAGGCTATTGCCCAGGGAACTCTTTGCACTTGCCAGTGTAATTTCTGCAACAGAGACTTCAATATCAGCTCCCAGTTCTTCATGGCTATTGAGTTTGAGGTACATATGCTGACTTATGCAGTTTGTTGAGCCTTGGTTTGGGAATTGCTGGGTCTAAGTATTCACTCCATGTTAGCTTCTGGCCCTACCTTTTAAAATCCTGATTCCCAGATAGGGCTCCTGGTACCTGGAAACTCACCAGGTAACTTTGTAGCTCACCAGCGCCTCCGTGTGGTAAGTGACATGAGCAGGGTAAGTGGGGATTGAAGTCTTAGATGAAAAATCACTCCTCAGTCCTTGGGCTAGACAGCACTGAACTGGAAAGTTCTCTGGCAGCCTTGACATCCTTTCAGGAACCTAGAATTCTGGAAGTGCCCTCACCCTTTCCTATAGAATCAACCCAATCAGTCTTGGAACTCTCTCCATGGCTGCTCCCAGCACGGTGCTGGGAACATTGTTTTATCAGTGCTGTCTTGGTGCTCGCTGGCTGCCTGCCATATTCCGGGGCTAGTGTGCACCTTCCCTCCGGCTCTGCCCTCACCCCCACGCCCCACCTCTTGATTGGGGACCTGGTCTTTGGAAGTAGGTAAGTAGCACACTCTGGGGATAATACTGCTTTGTGTGCAAGTAGTATGCAGACAGCCAGCCCCTGCAGTGTCTGGATCACATAGGTACCTTGAAGTTTCTCGAGGCCACCAGGAATTGTTGATAGTAGGAGTTATTTGGAAACAACTTTACAAAATTCCCATCAAAGCTACAGGCTGTTATTTTAATTTACCTTCCTCTGTACCTGCCTGAGAGAGCCAGATTCTGCCTTCATCCTAGCTACTCAGGCGGCAGAAAACTGAGGATGAAGTTTCAAAGGCAACATGGGCAGGATAGTCTGTAATACTCTAATCTCCAATGAACATCCAAAAAATCTGCAAATGAATGGAGGTGTGGCTCAGGTTTAGAGCACCATCCTTGAGAAAAAAGCTAAGAGTTAGTGACCAGGCTCTGAGTTCAAGCCCCAGTAAACACCCCAGAACCAAATTCCGTGAAGACCTTTCTTTCAATGGTGTCTTCTTTGCTCTCTGGCCTTCATGCACAGGAAAATTTGCTCCATGCTACTTCAGTTTGATCCCTGTCATCTGATTGGTATTCATAGAAACTAGGTTTTCAGTCATCTGTATCAAGCTCCTGGCAATCTATCTGTACTTTTAACTGCATAGCCCTAGCAACTGGGCTGTGGATATCACTTGTGGCTTTTTGAGTAGCTTTGGCCAAGAGAAGGGTTCTGGACCACCTTAGAGTATCTCTACTCATTTCACTAGGGCCAGACAGGTCCTCAGCCCTGGCCATGGGTGGAGAAGGGTTTATTTTACATTTACAAAGTTGAATGTCAGTGTAACTTTATTATTGCATAGAATTTGCTAGGTTTAAGCATATGTATCAGCTACTTTGTTTCTATAAAATATTTATGCTATTGATCTTATATCATTACCAGGCATTTTAGCAGCACATATAATCCCTACTGTAATTTATTTAATTAGAGACATACACATTTGATAATAATTATGTTAGCTTTAGTAATAAACTCAAGAAATAAATTCCATTTTTTTCATTTGGCTCCTATGGACAATCCATGTGTATCATATTATTATCCTTTTTATGTTCAAACTTTATTAGCATATTGGACTTGCATAAATTAGGTAGTAATACTTAATAACTATGATGGACATGTAAGTACAAAAACAAAAATATTTGCTCTATTAATTTCTCAAGAGATAGAGATTTTACTCAAAGAGAAACTGGAAATTTTATCTAAAGAGAACTCTGAGCTTCTAGCTCAGCACTAAAGACCTAAAGCAGGAAGATCCTGAATTTAAGACCAATCTAGACCACATGATAAGATTCTTGTCTCACACACAAGGAAAGAAGAAAAATCGGAAAATAATTTAGAAATCATTATCTTTAAAACCTTGCAGAGTCCTTATTTCAATCAGTGCTCTTCTTTCTTAGAAAAGTTTACTTAATGTACATATTAAATTGTTTTGATCACCTTTTTTAAATGTCAAATAATGCACAGTAGCTATTACTAAAAAATGAAACATTAAGACACTGATTCTGACACTGATTCTCCTAGGCTTTTTTGGAAGCTGTGTCATCAGTGTACAGGAATTATTAAGTGCATATCAACCTTGGGACTTAAGACTAAATTGTAGCTTCTGAGTGAATTTGCCCATGAAGATTATACGCTACAAAAATGATTCTATATTATTAAAAATAATTTACACAATAAATCAAAATGATGTTATTTGCCTTTTGGATGACTCAGTCGTTTTTGTCATTTTTCTGTGTTCTAGAAAGGTATACACGAGTGGGATTTTAATGCTTCCTCTGTGAGGGGAGTGAGGTAAGCAACTTCCTATGTTTTGTTTATTTAGAAAGCCTTTCTCAAACACCTTCAGAACATGGCTTGGACTTTTAATCATGATGTAATAATACAAATCATTTCAAGAATCCTTCTGCTAAAGGAAAATACCCAACCTCTTTAGTCTCACTCTCTCTGTGGTGATCCTACACTATGACCTGCACTGTTTATTGAACTGACTTGCTTGTCACCTACTTGTAACGTGGTGACTGTGGGGTAAATGTGAACTGAGGAGCAGAATCAAGATGCAGATGAAGGGAGCACAGGGAGCTCTGCTCCAGGTAGCCTCACTTGTGGTTTATGTCCTAGGATGGTTTCCTGTCCTTCTGGTGACCAGTAGCTAATTTCTCCTGAATAGATCCAAAGCACATATGCCATGAGCCTAGCCATGTCCTGTAGCTAGTGTTAGTGGCATGAGATTATGGGGAATCCATTCTTTTTTCATTCTCTCTAGGTCATTGTTATTGTAGCATTCTTGAGATCACAGCCACAAACTTCAATTCAGTTCTAACATTGACATTCACTCTTCCTTTCAGTTATATTTTTATTTATCTTTATCTTTAGTTATTTATCTTTCATTCTACAAAGGGGTAACAATTCAATAGGTCACTTTAAAAAAAATGAACTGACTCAAGCCCCATGACCGACCAAAAAAAAAAAATATGAACTGAGGATTGAACTTGGGGTCTTTTGTTCTAGCCTGGCATTTAGGCTCAAGGCTAGTACCCCACCATTGGAACCAGACCTCCAATTCCTAACATTGCTCTTATAAGGCCAGCAGTTCAGAAAATGTTATTGCGGGGGGGGGGGGGGGGTGGCGAGGAGGGCGGGAGGAGAACTAAAAATAAGGTCTTTTTTTTAAGAATCAAATGTCACTTGCGAAGTGTTTAAATGTTTGCCTATAGGCACCCATGCTAAGCCAATTCTTGGAAATTCCAAGCCCAATTCGTTGTGTTTACTAATAGCCTCACATAATAGAAATGGGAGACAACAGACTTCTGCAAGCCAGTTATGCAATATCCTGTTGCTTTTGTAATTATGGGATTTGTTTTGGCTAGAACATGAACTGGTAGAGCAATCTGAGTCACCAATCATTTTGACTTGGCAGACAGAACTTCCTGTAACCTCATGGGTGATCCGAACAAGCAAGATTATGGACTGAATCATTATATACTTTCTAATTGATACCTTCTCAAATAAAGCTTTACTCTCTTAATATTTAATTTTTAGAAGCACTCATTAGCAAGGCATTTATTATTTATGACTGAATTTTCCAAACAATTCATTTATTATAATAAATATAAATTTCACTTAATCCGATTTGTTTTCTAGTAGATTCATTTACTTTAATTAACTATGGCAGCTCTACAAACAGTTGTTATAATTTATGGCATATACATATGATGCCTCTGCCTGATTCTTGCTGGCTTATATGTTGAGGAAATTCAAGTACTAGTCTGAGACTTCAAGTGAGTGAACTTTGCCTGGCTTCCTCCTCTATAATGAAAAGATGACAAACCATGGAACAAAATCCAACTAGGTCAGCAATTGATCTTGCATCACTCAGAACATGCTCAGATCAACTCAGTGGCATTTGCTGAGCATTAGATGTGTGCCAAATGTTGAGTTCTACTAAAGATACAAAAATATCAAACTCTTCTTGAAGAGCATCTAGGTGGAAAGAGGAGCACACATTTACCAACTAATGGCAATACATGTGAGATACGCAGTGAGACCTTCTGTTTAGGCTACAAGCAGGGCTTGGAGAGTAGGTAATGTCTTAGATGAGCCATAAACAATTATTAGAATTTCTTTTTTTTTCTTTTTTTGTCAGTTGAATTCAGGGCTTAGTGCTGTCCCTGATCTCTTTTGTTCAAGGCTAGTGCTTTACCACTTGGAACCACAGCTCCACTTCCAGTTTTTGAGTAGTTAGTTGGAGAAAAAGGTCTCACAGGGACTTTTCTGCTCAGGTTGGCTTCAAACTGCAATTGTCAGATCTCAGCCTCCTGAGCAGCTTGGATTACAGGCATGAGCCACTGACTCCCGACTTAGAATTTCCTCGTAAATTTAAAAAGACATTCTGCATTGTGCAAAGCACAAAATATAGTCCATGGGCTGAGTGTTGGTGGAATGAATACACACACACACACACACACACACACACACACACACACTCACACACACACTCCATGTTACAAATGTTGCCTGCCTCCTGTTTTGTAAATAAAGTTTTATTACATAGTCACATATACTCATTTGTTATCTAAGGCTCCTTCCATCTTCCAACAACAGAGTTGAGTGGTTTGGCCTGCAGATCCTAAAGTATTTTACTATCTGGCCCATTACAGAATATGTTGGCTTGCTCCTTCTGACGTAAAACAGCATGGCTAAACTTGTTGTTTCATGTTGCTCTACAATAAAACCCTTTCTGAATCCAAACCAAGGGCTATTTCCTATTTCTTCACTCTCCTATAATCTGTACAACCAGTGAGGTACTTTTACTACCTCTACAGATTGTCTTCCTCCCTTTGGAAACATGTCATTGTGCCACAGATCCAATGAGCCCAAATTCAAGCTCAGCCAGCAAGTTAGGATTTGTACTTTTCCTCCCAACACAGACGACTGCATTAGCCAGCGGGACAGTTCAATATGTTTGTAGCATCCCAGAGCAGTGCTATGCTTCAGAGATGAGTAGGAGGACAATTTCTCAGAATACTAAATAAGTTTAGTATTAGGAGGTGGGGAAATTTCTTTACTTCCTCCCTCCTCCCCAGTCCTGGGGGTTGAACTCAGGGCCTTGGAGCTGTCCCTGAGCTTTTTTTGCTCAAGGCTAGCCTTATACCACTTGAGCCACAGTGCCACTTCTGGCTTTTTCTGAGTAGTTTATTAGGATTAAGAGTCTCACAGATTTTTCTGCTGGGCTGGCTTTGAATCACAATCCTCATATCTCCCTTTCTGAGTAGTTAGGATTATAGGTATAAGCCACTGGTGCCAGATGGAGATTTCCTTTTTTTTGTTGTTGTTGTTGGTCATGGGGCTTGAACTCTGGGCTTGGGCACTGTCCCTGTGCTCTTCAGCTCAAGGTAAGTGCTCTCCCATTTGAGCCATAGCACCACTTCCAGTTTTCTAGTTGTTTATTGGAGATAAGAATCTCACGGACTTTCCTGCCCGGGCTGGCTTTGAACCGTGATCCTCAGATCTCAGCATCCTGAGTAGCTAGGATTACAGGCGTGAGCCACTGGCGCCTGGCTGGAAATTTACTTTTTAAAGTGCAATTTCTGACTGTGTGTTGTAGAAACAATTGATATAATCAAGATTGGATATACAAAGCATTTGTTTTTTATTACAGATACATGGATGTTCTTGTATTTCCCTGACTAATGCTTCTTTTTGTTTCAGTATTTCTAAATTTGAAGAACGATGCTGTTTTCTTTATGTGCTTCACAATTCTGATGATTTCCAAATCTACTTCTGTACAGAACTTCACTGTAAAAAGTATGTATTTGTTATTCTGTATAAAAAGACTGTTCAAACTTGATAATGATATGCAAGTAATGTATTCATATATAGCCTCTTTAAAGAGTTTAATGGGTAAATAAGCAATACATCATTAAGGACAGTATTTTTATAACTATATGGCTTTGTGGTATATTATGCAGTCAGAATTTTTGGACTCTTTAGAATAAATCAATGTTTTTCTTAGTCATAATTCATTTCCCCACAAATAAAATACTAACCAAGACTTACAGGTTCACTGTTAAATACTCTGCCTGTTTTTTAAATACTTACCAAATATGCTTACCAAAATTTTTGTTCTCACAGTTCTGAATAACCTTATTGTTGTCTACAACAGCGGCCTTCATTCTTGCTCCTATTAGAATCATTTAATGAACATTAAAAATGTGCTTTGGCCACACGCCAGACTACGCAGGCACAGTTAGGATAAGAGCCAGTGGTCTGATCTACACCAATAAAAGAGAAGATCCAAAAATTCAAGGACTGTATTGTTTGTTTGTGTTACCCTCCTTGGGCATGTTTCTCTTGAGTGGATTAAATACTTTATAGAACACAGTGACTGTCTATGATGGAACAGAGAACTAAATGACCACTTAGAAACAAGTGTAGCTGAAAGCCAGCTTGAACTTAAATTTTACTGGAAGTTGTTTTGATACACATAATCACTATTTGATATGCTAGGTACAATAGCCAATCACTAATTTTATCTTGATGTAAAAATAATGCTTGTTGAATTCACAGATTATGGCTAGAGATGAATTTTCATTATCACAAAATGTACAGTAAAAAGACTTGGAAATAAGAAAGACTGCTCATCCCATGTATGTTCTAATTTTCTACCTATACTTAAAGTCTCAAAGATATTGATAGCTATTTATAGCTATTTATTCTTTTGCTTAAAAGAATAAAATTAAAATCTTTTTGAAGTATTAACAGACCTTATAAACATAGCCAGTAAGTGTAAAATCAGGGATTCGAAGTAGGCACAAGTGATTATAAAGTCCATGCTTCCAAAATTACACTGGATTCCTGCCGCACTATGTTATATTCTGCTCAGAGATAGGTGCTCATGCTGATGACTTTGTATTAGTGATTGAAATATTAGGTCTTGAAGCTTGCTCTTAAAGCCAGATGTTTTTTTCAAGCAAGGTTTTCTTTTGAAGAGTTCTTTTGTTATTCTCCTTCTTTGTTGATTTTGATTTTGTCTCTAACTCATCATTCAATCTTCACCAGAGTATACTGTGAGGCCACTCAAGCTAGGCAATTGTTTTTGTCATTGACCTCCAAGAAATGTGTAGAGGGAAAGAAGTACTGAATGTGAACTCTCTAAACAAGCTTCAGACTCCACAATAGACTTGGTTCATGGTTGTATTTTCAATGTCTAGAACAGTTCTTAACACGTAGATATTCAATGAGAATTTGGATAAAGGAATGGATGGACAGATAAAATGAGGTACAGGAATAGAAAGATTCTGAGTTGTGTTGAGTGGGCTTTGTGCCATACCATAGCCTGCTCTGTCCTGTAGCTGTCCTTTCATACAAGATCATCAGCCCTAGTCTTAGTACCTGCCTTACTTTACGTGTATGGACCATTGACATCCCCTTTTAATAGACAAGACTCATGGAGAACATGGAAAATCTATTTTTTTCACTTAATTACATTGCTTTCCTATGAAATGATCTCCAGAAATAAAACTTCATGAGGGTTACTAAAGAAAGATGTTGATGAAAGTGGCTGTGTCATCAATGTATGTGTAAGCCAGTCCAAATTCACATCAGTATTTCATAGGCTCTATGTATGGAACCTACATGTATAGTGTTGAAGTGCTCAGGGAGAAGATTTAGTGTTTGAGATTGAATGTTGTAGTAGCCTAACAGTCACCTATCAAGTTAGAGATAACATGATATAATGAAATATCTAGAGTATGGGCAATTTTGGTAATTTTTTTTGGGGGGGGGGGTCCAGTTGTGGGGCCTGAACTCTGGGCCTGGGCGCTGTCCCTCAGCTCTTCAGCTCAAGGCTAGTGCTCTACCACTTGAGCCACAGCACCACTTCTGGCTTTTTTCTTTTTTCTTATGTGGTGCTGAGGAATCAAACCCAGGGCCTCATGCGTGCAAGGCAAGCGCTCTACCACTGAGCCACCTTTCCAGCCCAATTTTGGTTATATTTTTAAATAGTAATATTGACAACAGTGAAATAATAGTAGCCAATAGATATGAATGCATTGTACTAAGCAATTACCCTAAATCATCTTCACAGCAACTCATGAAATAGGTACTTCATATTTCCTGCTTGATAATTAAGTACTTAGGCAAATGGGACTGTCTAAGGTTGCATAGATACCAATAATCTTGCCCTAATACCCTAGTGCACATTCTTAACATTTCTATGACCCTGTTTAAATTGTGTTACTAAAATTTGAAGTGAAGCATTAAGTCAGAAATTTCTTGTAAATCCTACCAACTTACATGTTCTCTTTGAACCATAGTTTTTCATGGTCCTGATAGTTGTTAACCTAATCTGCATTTGCTCTCGTCACTTTGGGACATGTTTACTTATGTAGTCCCTAATTCATAATGATGTGTGGTTTTCAAAGATTTTTTTTCATCTTTATGAAGGCCTGAACTTGATACATATTAGTAGAAACCATACTTCAAATGTTGACCCTTTCATGAGCTAGTGAGATACAGTACAGTACTCTCACTATGCTGAGCCATGACAGTAAGCCACAGCTACCAGCTGTCACTCAGCCCCTCGACCACAAGACTGAAAAACCAAACTATAATGCACTGGGTTGATAGCATGATTTGGATATAGGTATTCAACAAGTTGCATGAGATATTTAACACTTGATGATAAAATAGGTTCTGTGACAGATAATTTCTCCCAATTCTTGGCTCATGTAACATTGAAGGTAGGTTAGGTTAAGCTAGAATGTTCAGCAGGCTTTAAGTATAATCAAGTACGTCTGGATTATATCACAAGTCAAGGAGCGTGAATGTTTCATATTCCATTGTGTTATGGATTCCAACTTTTATTGTAGGTTTTTTGAAATGGTGAACACCATCACGGAAGAAAAGGGGAGAAGCACAGAGGAAGGAGACTGTGAAGGTGACTCCCTGGAGGTAATGTTCAAAGTAGCTTCTAGAGTGAATGATAGTGAATATGCTTGAAGTGCTTGGTATACATGCTCGGAAGTAGAATAAACTCTACTAATTTTTTTTTTTTTTTGTCGGTCATGGGGCTTGAACTCTGGGCCTGGGCTCTATCCCTCAGCTCTTCAGCTCAAGGCGAGCGCTCTACCGCTTGAGCCACAGTGCCACTTCAGGTTTTTTCTAATGGTTTATTGGAGATAAGAGTCTCACGGACTTTCCTTGCCCGGGCTGGCTTTGAACCGTGATCCTCAGATCTCAGCCTCCTGAGTAGCTAGGATTACAGGCGTGAGTCACCGGCGCCCGGCTTCTACTAAATTTTTAAGAAGGAGATAGGTAGAGAAATGAAGGGGATGAATATGATCAAGTACGTTGTATGTATATGTGGAAATGTCACAATGAACCTTTCCTTGAACAATTAATATGTGCTAATAAAAACCCAGTAAAAAAAAAGAAGTAGCTTCTAGAATTCTCGTGGTTAAAAGTGCAAAAACACTAGCGAACTCAGAAAACTCAGGAGTATTTAGTTTTAGTATTTTCCTTACCAGAAAGTGAACAACTATGTTTTATCCATGAGAGTATCAATTGCCTTCACAGCCTGGGTAACATTGGTTAGGCTTTTTCTATTCTCTTCTGAGCTGTGTACAATCCAAGCACATAAATATCAGTGAAGTTTCTGGATGATAGAATCTTTTGTGGCCCTCATTAGTATGTTATACCCAGAACCTTGAAACTATGAAAGTTAATAGAATAACAAATCAAAGCAATACGCATTTAGGAAGTTACAGGACAGCAAGAGTGTGGGATTTTAGATAGGGAGGAGAGGAAGACTATTTAAGGAGGTAATAATTAAGGTTCAGGAGGTGGCTCAAGTGGTAGAGCACTTGCTTAGCATCCATAAACACCCCCTGTACTGTCAAAAATAAAAAAGTTGCTAGCACCAGTAGCTCACCCCTAGAATCCCAGCTACTCAGGGGGCTAAGATCTCAGGATCACAGAGCAAAGCCAGCCTGGGACAAAAAAAAGTCTCTGTGAGAGTCATATCTCCATTTAATCACCAAGACACTGGACATAGAATTGTGGTCCAAAAGTTAGAGCACTAGCCTTGAGCCATAAAGATCAGGGGCAGTGCCCAGGCTCTTGAGTTCAAGTCCCATGACTGACAAAAATAAGCAAATAAATAAAAAAATTTAAAAAGTAGTATTTGAGTAAAGATTTAAGATAGATCTGGTACACTGGATAAAATGGATTTGACATTCCATTACTGTTATCACTGTTTATGGCATTTGCCAAAAAGGAGGCATGACAGTCTGAAAAATAATGAAGTCACTTGAGGTAACAACTCATCTTGTACTGGAGTTCCAGAGTTTGAAAGTAGCTTGGCTTTGATACAGTGATTCTTTCACTGTAGGTCCCTTGGAAATGCAAGGACTGAGTGAATCATCACTCTGTTGTTTGGCCTTGTCAATAATGTCTTCCCCTGCCAGTTCTCTTCCCAGCATCATTTGAGGTGGTTCTGGGCAGGCAGTAATAAAGGGATGATTCTAGATGTATTCCCATCAGTGCTTTGAGATGCAACTCTTGTCTCCCTTAGCAACAGCTTGATTTCTTAACTATTACCATAGAAATAGAATATAAAATATATAAGTTGTGTAATCATACCCTTTATTTTTTTTAAATCTGGGTTTTTTTCCTCCTTTTTTGTTTCCATATTCATCAGTTCAAGGCCCTGTCTTCCTAGGTGCTTAGCCGCAGTTCTGTTCTGGTTTCTCTGGCCATCGCTTAGACAATTTTCTCTCTGAATAAGCCAGACCAGGCTCCTGTCTCCTTCATCGTTCTGTTACATAGGTGTTATGCTCAAGCCAGCCTGGGCTATGTTCCTCCTATTTGTGACAAGCAAATACCATTGTGCCCAGCTATTGTGCTTTCCCTGTAGCTAGGATGACAAGTGCATACCATGTGCTTGGATGTTGGTTAAGATGGAGTCTTTTGAAATTTTTCTTGCCTGTGTCAGCCTCAGACCAAATTCTACCTCCCAAGCAGTTAGGATTACAGGCTTGAGCCAATGTTCAAGGCCAATGTTTTTGATGAGTATAAAATTCCATGAGTAGGGCCAGGCACTGGTGGCTCACGCCTGTAATCCTAGCTACTCAGGAGGCTGAGATCTGAAGATCACAGAAGCCAGTCCAGGCAGAAAAGTCCCACAAAGAATCTTATCTCCAATTAACCACTCAAAAACTGGAAGTGAGGCTGTGGCTCAAGTGGTAGAGGATAGCCTTGAGCACAAAGAGGCTCAAGGACAGGGCCCAGACCCTGAGTTCAAGCCCCACACTGAAAAAAAAACAACAATATCCATTACTAGTTAGGCAAATTGTTTAGTGATAAAAACACTTGCCTAATATGCTCATAACCATGGGTTCTATCCCTAGCACTACAAAGAACAACAACAAAAGAAATCTATGACCATTGTTTTCTTCATGAATTATTCAGCAATACCTAATGTCAAATTTTCTGGCTGATAAAGTGTAAGAAATAAAAATATTTGGCTAACTCTCAGACCCTTTGATGAAGTGGATGTAACTGTTCTTTGCCAATTTTATATTCTATCCAGTGGGAGGATCTTGTTCTTATGACTTGTATAGATTTTGCTGAGTTTTGGGGGACATGGCTTGGTCATTTGATGGTCTAAAATATTATAAAAAATATTATAGTTGCAGTCTGAGACAAAGGAGGTGCCTTTCTGAAATGTTTTCTATATTCTTTTCACTCATATCTAATTTATTTTATTTTGCTGCTATGTTTGACACTGGGGTTCAGGGTGATAGATAGTCCCTTTGTACATCAAAGATCAAAATTTTCAGATGAAGTGTGGCATCACGTATATGGTAATCCTAACTATTAGGAGTATGAAGCTGCAGGAGTACAAGTTCAAGCCTTGCCTAGACAACATCAGAAAGAAATTAATTTTTTTGTGTCTTTATCTTTTTGGATTTGGGGGAACTGATGGTAAAATGAAAACAATCTTCTCTCTTTTTTTTTGCCAGTCCTGGGCTTGAACTCAGGGCATGGGCACTGTCTCTGAGCTTCTTTTGCTCAAGGCTAGCAGTCTACCACTTGAGCCACAGCACCACTTCCAGCTTATTCTGAGTAGTTTATTGGAAATAAGAGCTTCCTGGACTTTTCTGCCTAGGTTGACTTTGAACTATGATCCTCAGTTCTCAGTCTCCTGAGTAGCTTGGATTACAGGCATGAGCCACCAGTGCCCAGCAAATCCTTGCTTTTTTTTTTAATTCATTGACTAGGAAAACTTCAAACTTTTTACCCTAGCCCTTTCAGTATTTGCACTGTCTTACAGAGTAAGAAATGCTGAAATGGTACCAAAGCTGAGTAACAAGAAGAAAATTAACTCAATGTGATCAGTACTGAGGGATGTTGACTTCAGTTGTCTGCGTCTCCAGGATCAATGCAAACCCAAACTAAATGCATAAAAGAATCTGAGTGTGTTTTACAGAAGCACTTGTACAGATTCAAGAAGGCAGTTCCCAGTGTGTCTTAACATGTGTATAATCTAAATGTGAACACTCTACCTGATTTATGTAGAGAGTTTTGGTTATTGAAGCTGCCCCTTCCATCTTTTTACTTTTCATACTCTTTTTTCGTTGTTGTTGGTTGTGGGGCTTGGACTCAGAGCTGGGACTCAGGGCTAGCATTCTACCGCTTGAGCCACAGCAACACTTCTGGCTTTTTCTGTTTATATGGTAAGGAGGAGTCAAACCCGGGACTTCATGCAGATTAGGCAAACACTCTACTACTAAGCCAAATTCCCAGCCTAAGAATACTCTTAAGAGAACAAAATGGTGTTTGAAATACCAAGTTCAACTAATGTCTAACTATTCTATGTCCCTTTTCCTTCTGCAGTATGACTATGAATATGATGAGAACGGTGACCGGGTTGTGTTAGGAAAAGGCACATATGGGATCGTCTATGCAGGTCGAGACTTGAGCAACCAGGTCAGGATTGCTATTAAGGAAATCCCAGAGAGAGACAGCAGGTACAGTAATTTCACTAAAGGGCTAATAAAATCTTCTTTGAGTGCTCTTGGGATTGTTAGTAAAAGTTTAGGAAATACTTGGTGGTAATTCAATTAAATGAGACTCTCCGGAAACCCCATTGTATGATTTGAATCCATCTCAGGTTTATCTGTTGTATTGTTTTGTAATTTAAGTAGAAATCTTGGATGTATGGACAAAAAGATTCAGGTAAGGACTTTTAAAAACTACAATGGGTGTGTTGTATGCTGGTCATAGGTAAGGTGGTTTATTCTATGGATAGATGGACAGTAAGTGCTGTCATAAATAAGTTTCCAGTCCAGCATGTAAGGCACTTCCAGATTGTCATTCCATCTGAACAAGTGGAAAGGGGAGCAACTAAGAAACCAGCTACTCTTGTAGGATCCATTGGTGAAGGGCAGAAAGCAGCCCCCTAACTGGAAAGATAGAATCGAGTACTGATAGTCATACTTACTAGAGCAGAACCCCATGGAAACCACCATGGGCACTAGTGCTGGCATAGAAAATCTGACAGCTAACAAACTGATAGAGACCTAGTGTGGACAAATGAGAGTTAAAAACAACAGAGGCTGAGTGTGGAGAATCCCTACACTTTTATGAACTTCACCCCTGGGAAACAATACCAAATCTTCATAATGAATATCAGAGAAAAGTGCCCTTGTGCTTCTGATAGAAGAGAGAAAAGGAGACCATTTACGTCCCATCAGAACATCTTATTGGTAAAATACTTGTCCTCAGGAGAAAATTTTACTGGGAAAGGAAATGGCCAACTTTAATCCACTCTAGTTATTCTGTCCCACTTAAAGTGTCCAAAACTACAAAGTGACTGTAAGGTTCACAGCCCAGGGACACAGGCTTACACACATCATGTCTGTCTTTCATCAGAATTACAAGGCATACTCACAAATAAAATTAAATTAAATTAAAAAAAAATGAAACAAAGCACAAAAAAAAAAAAAGAATTACAAGGCATACTAAAAGGTGAAAAACATTTAGCAAGCATCAAAACCAGAGCCAGATATGGCAGGCATGTTGGAGTTTAAAGACTTGGAATTTATTTATATGGATTGTTACCCTGAACAGGTGGTTCATGACATTGAATGGTTAAAGGGATTGTAGATAATACTATAACATTGTTATTGTGAAGATAGAGCACACAGATATGTCTGCCCTGTGCCCTGGAGAGATCAGGATGTTCCCTTTGAAGTGGTAGCAGTCACAAAGGATAATTGCTAACGTGGTATAATGCATGAGGTGGTACTTTGAATTACCATCTGCGAAGGAGAATCATAGAAGCAACAGCAGTTTCTTGTGGTAGCTTAGGGGGTAGCTCTGTAGCAAAGCTTGTCTCTGGATCCAGTTTCCAGTACCAAAAACATACTCAGTTCCTTCTGTGTTTCCTTCCCATTCTAAAAATACTTCGCTTATGCATCAGAGTAGTTGTAAGAGAGAGGTTGTACATTAGAGTAAACTCTCAGTAAGCTGTCGCAAGCTAGGGTTAATCTTGGTTTTTTCCTTGTAACATTTGACACAACCCTAAATTGTTTAATTTTATTAGTATCTCCATCCAGCTGTAAATTAGAGCTAACTAAGGAAACTTTTAAAAATGCTCAGACTCCACCTCCAAAAATTCTAAGGTTGTTCTGGACATTCTTCAACAGCTGTACAGGAGAGGTGAATGCCTGCCTGCTAAAGGTTGGAAACCAACCCAGCACAGCGGTTCACACCTGCAATCGCAGCACTCAGGAAGCACAGACAGTATGATACTGAGTTTAAGACTAGGCAGCATTTGAGATTGTCTCAAATGAAACAAACAAAAGAAAGGTTGGAAACCACCTTTCTAGATGGTTGTCAATGGAGATTTGACTTAGAGGAAATCGAGAAAAATTTATAGATGAATAGTTATTTTTTCAAATCTAAATATGGTGGGTGCTAGTGGCTCATAACTGTAATTCTAACTACTCAGGATGAGATCTGAAGATCAGAGTTCAAAGTCAAAGAAGAAAACTCTTCAAAACTCCATCTCTAATTAATCAATAAAAAGTATCAGAGAATGGCTCAAGTGGTAGAGTGCTAGCCATGAGCAAGAGTGTATGGCCCTGAGTTCAAGCCCCAGAAGTAACACACACACACTACAAGCTAAATACACGTAACTATCTCTGACTGTACCATTTCTTCTTCCCATTGCTATTGCTGATTGAAAAGATAGGATTTTTGTAATTCCCATAGGCAAGCATAATTTATCACTGAGAAAATTATCGCTTCATCCTTGTTTCATGCTTAGTACTTGAACTTTGTAAAAACTGTTGGATATTTGTAATATTTTCCATATTAGAGAAAAGTGCAGATCCTTAGTTTAGTTGGTCTCAGACTAGTATTTAAATTCTCAACTATCCTTGATTTAACTACATAATGTGGATAATTTGACTTTCCATCATTTTAAATGTAAGAATTCATGGTTTGATTTTTCAATTAAGGACCAAGAATTGAGAGTCCTTTCATCCATAATAAATTGAGTTAGTTGCTTATTTGATTATCTTAATTTCCTAAATCTATAGAACAAGCATATCTTTGTAACTAATGCATATATAAGTAATCAAGAACTAGTGTCAAGTGATTTTATTGCTACAGAAGAAGTAACTTACAAATGTCCTCATAGTGAAGAGTCATTACCAAAGTATCTTATTGGCAATATTCCATATTTATAATTCTTGTTCAATTCCATCAAAATGTTGCTGTCTCTAACTTGTACACTATTAAAGCAGCCATTGTAATACCTGGTCTTTTTTAGGTTTTAGAATAGTTCTAAAGAAGAAAAATGAGAACTATGGCTGAAGTACAAGGTTTTCTGTTATTATTATTGTCTGGTTTCTGAATAGTAATACACAGATTATAAAAGCTCGTTTGGATTAAGTCAAGCCATATTTTTTTTATAAATTTCTAATTGCTTTAGCTTTAGCCAAGCTCCATAAAAATAGTATTATTGAATGCTAGAAATGCTAGTGTTTATTGTTGACATCCAAAAAAGATGCACTGTGTTTATTCAGATTGGCCACTGGAAAATCTGAACATCTCCCATATTTATGACTGAGCAAGTTTGAGACATCAGATTATATTTAATATGACTTAGTGGTTAGAGCTTTTCCCTTCTGTAGCCTCTACTGTGTACTTATATACATATATATACAGTTATATACATATATATACTTATATACTGTATATATGTATGTATATGCACGTACATGCATTAGAGAATAGCATTGAGTGTGTTTATCACTGACACCCCACCATATTTAGTTTTGTTTTTTTGTTTTTTCTGCACTGGGATCTGAACTCACAGTCTTGTAATTGTTAGGCAAGTGCTCTACCATTTGAGCCACATCTCCAACCCTTTTTGCTTTAGGTTATGTTTTCAAAAATGGTCACACATTTTACCAGGTCATCCTCCAGTGGTGATCCTTCAACTGTAATCCTCCTACCCTACTGCCCCCCAGGTAGCTGAGATAACAGGTAGATGCCAACATACCATGCTTACTTTGGAGAGAAAGAATCTCGATAACATTTTGCCCAGGCTGACCTGGAATCCTCCAGATTTCCATCTCTCTAACTAGGATTTCAGGTATAAACCACTAAACTGTCCATATTTAGCTTATTAAATAAAATTTATGAAAGGCTACTAATTTGGACTACGCTCCTAGTCTTGATCACAATAGATTAATTTAAAATGGAATCACTTATTCTTAAGTTTCATGTCACCAAACCAGACCTGACCTATACTTGAATAGGTAAAGAGATAGTAGAGAGATGGCAGCCATATTTCCAAACAGGAAAGTAGCCTATTCAGTATAATAAGGAAGTACCCTTTGCTTTAGCCTTACAAGGACAGTTACCTGATGATGACCAGTTGCTTTTTGCACCATGATGTTTCCTTATTTTGCCCAAGCTACCTTAGAATAACTGATTATTCTGCCATACAAAGCAAAGCTCCTGTCAGTTTGGACTAGATGTTGTCTAGTTCATGGATCACCAATTAAATCTTTACTTCAGTCTGTTGAAATTTTGATCTTTGACAAGCTGTACAAAATCACAGAGTAGCTACATTGATTTGGAGATGTTAAGTCTATAAACTTTACATTCCTGCATGCAATCATGTGGAGTGTTATTCTGTTTCAGAAGTACAAAGCACTTTCATCATTTGATGCAGCACATGATTTTTTTTTATTCCAAGCACATGATTTTTTTAATTTATTTTTATTGTGAAAATACTGTAAAGAGGGGTTACAATTACATGGGCAAGATAATATGAGTACATTTCTTATCAAGCATTGTAGCCTCCTCCTTTGTTTCCCCTTCCCATCCCTTCCCATCCTCCCTCCACCCCCCACCCATCCTCCCCATCCCACCCTCCTACCAAAGTTGTAAAGTTCGTTTTCGACACAACGACTTGTACATCTCATTGTTGCAATGGGTCCACCTGTATCCCTATTTAAATGATTTGTTTTTCCCCTTCCCCTCCACAAATTATACCAACATCAAATACAGTGAAAGCAGGGGTTATAATGTGGGGGAGGGACATACAAAGCAACAAAGAAATAATCTTATAAATGTGTTAGAAACAATCGCATGAAAGAAAAAAAAAACATTTGAATACATATCTTAGGGTTCAATTCCCTAACATCACCTTATCTGACCTTTTCTGCCAAGCCCATGATTTTAAACTCTGCTTTACACCTAGTCTTTCAGTAAAGAGACTAGTAGGGAATTAGAAAAAAAAAAATCATGAGACAATAGGCCTGATGCATAGTGTCGGTGAAGATTTTGAATCAATGTTTTCTCTTGAAGAGTTAATTGCTCTTTCAGGAAGTTCTTGAATGAACATTAAAATTACTGGGAATGTCTGTCTTCCTGGGCAAGAGCCTCCTAGAATAAGAGTCATGTTAGCAGAACAGCAAGCTGTGTAGTAACTTCTAATCGCCTGGTTTCACATCTTAAGTCTATCACTGGTTTTGTGATCTTGAGCAGGTTAGTCATCTCCTCTGTAAATTAATTTTTTCTGATCTATAAAATTAGCATGTTAGTAGTACCTTCTTATTTACATGTCAGAAATGAGTTAATATGTATAAGGGAACTTAGAACAGTCCTTTCTTCTTTTCCTACAATGCTACAAACTCACAGAATTGGCCTAATGAGACATGAAGTCCTTGGGTGGTCATTTGATGTTATTTATGGGTACATTTTAGTTTGTATCACTTAGGTTTATACACTAAGGTCAGACTGCAGAATTATCTCATTGACATTTGCGTGTGTTCCAGATACTCTCAGCCCCTACATGAAGAAATAGCCTTGCATAAGCATCTGAAACACAAAAATATTGTCCAGTATCTGGGCTCTTTGAGTGAGAATGGCTTCATTAAGATCTTCATGGAACAGGTCCCAGGAGGTAAGAGATGCTTCTCTTTCTTTCAAAACTATAAATTTCCTAGTCCTGGAAGAGGATTAAAATGAGTGAGATTTACTGGAGTAAAAGTCTTAATTTGACTATGCTGAAAGAGAAATCAGATATGGGGCATTAGCTGAAAGTTTGTTCGGATAAAATAAATAAATGTTGGGACCAATTTAGTATTAGCCATCATGCCTTGGATTAAGGTGAGCCATTAGCCTTTTACTTAGCCTGTGTTGTCTTTAGAGGAAGGAGTCATATTTTTGTATTTAAGCCCAAGAACTGGTACAATTGTTATAAATGTTCACTTAAATTAGTGTCACGTTTTTAGTATGCTTTAAAATATTTATTTGGAAGAGATTTTATCCACCTTTTATTTCTTTTACAGGAAGTCTTTCTGCTCTCCTTCGTTCCAAATGGGGCCCATTAAAAGACAATGAGCAAACAATTGGCTTTTATACAAAGCAAATCCTGGAAGGATTGAAATACCTCCACGATAATCAAATAGTGCACCGGGACATAAAGGTAGGCCATATCATGATTCATTTTCCTAAATTCCTGCAAAAATCTAAATTAGATGTTAGAAACAGTAGAAATATAAGTATCATTATATTCTCAGCCAGTTACATAGTAGTTTTTGTTCATCTCATCTGAGCCAGAACTAACTTCCTTATCCATATTAACCAATTGAGTATGCTCACAGTATATGGTATTTTCTTTGAGCTCTGTGGGATGAGTGTAGCAATACAGTGGATGCAGGGCATGCTCTCTGTTCCTGAGTAGTTAGCTCACAGGCTGGTTAGTCTTTGTGTCCTTGCCCATAATGACTTCTTATAAGTGTATATATTAAATCAATGGATGAATGGTTAAAAGAAGTAAATAAATAAAATTCCCCTTCCTCACAAGTACCTACTACTTTTATGCATTGAACTAAGAGTATTAGTTATAGATTCTCTAAAATAAAAGCATTGTGCTTGGTAAGAAATGTACGCATTATCCTGCCCATGTAACTGTAACTCCTCTGTACAGTATGTTCACAAATAAAATTAAATTAAATTAAAAAAAAAATAAAAGCATTGTATCCTTTCAACAAGAGAATGCAAGCTGAGGCGATGACTCAGTGGTAGAGCACCTGACCAGCAAACATGAAGCCTTGAGTTCAAACTTCAGTATTAGGGGGGGAAAAGGACCAAAAACATTTAGTTTGGCATAGTGAACTAGTCCTATGATCTTAATACTCAGAAGATAGGTGCAGGAAGATTTCTAGTATGAGGCCAGCCTGCGTTATATGGCAGGTTACCCCAGGCCATCCTGAGAGGAGAGGAGAGGAGAAAGGAAAGAAGAAAGGACAGGACAGGAAAGAAAAGGAAAGGAAAGGAAAGGGAAAGGAAGGAGGAAGGAAAGGAAAGGAGAAAGAAAGAAAGAGAAAAAAGAAAAGAGAGAAAGAAAGAAAGGAAGGAAGGAAGGAAGGATGGAAGGAAGAGAAACGAGGGAGAGTTGGAGGAAAGAGAGAGATGGGGGACTGCAGTGTAGCTCAGGGTTAACGTGCTTGCCTAGCAAGTGCAACATACTAGGTTCAGTTCTCAATACAAGATAAAAAACAAAAACAAACAAACAAAAAAAACCTAAGCAAAATAGAGCTTGGCAAAGGTCTTACTATGGCAGATATGTTAGTTTTGTAACTAAAACACAATGGATTCACATCTTGGTGAGTACAAAACCAAAAGGCACAACTAGCAGATTAAAGAGTAGAGTAGTATGACTTGTAGCAGGCGAAGAGAGTACTGACGTCATTTGCAATCAAGAAAGGAATGCTAGCCCTGAATAAAGCATGGGGATTTTATTAAAGAACCTCTGCAAGCTTGACACCATTGGCTCATGCCTACAATCCTAGCTACTCAGGAGGCTGAGATCTGAGGATCACAGTTCAAAGCCAGCCCAGGCAGGAAAGTCCATGAGACTCTTTATTTTCAATAAAACACTAGAAAACCAGAAGTGACACTGTGGCTCAAGTGGTAGAGCGCTCACCTTGAGCTGAAGAGCTGAGAGATAGTGCCCAAGCCCAGAGTTCAAGCCCCACAATTGACAAAAAATAAAAATAGAAAAGAACATATGAAAAATCATATTGGAATGTTCATAGTGGTGGGCACATTCCCAGATGTGATCAATTTTATATGTACATTTTTGAGCATGATCAAATGTTTGGTTCATGCAGAAATCACTGTTCAAAAGAAAGATGACATATTTCTGGGCATGCTCAGTTTGAGGTCATAGAGTACACATTCAAAAAACAAAGATGTTGGATAAAAATGCTCGATAGGAAATGTACTCATGAACTCTGTACAGTATCTTTACAATAAAAATATATTTAAAAAATACTACAGGATAGAAAACAGTATAATGAGCAAAGTTTACTCCAGGTCACCTAGAAGAATAAGCCAGAGTTGCTGGGTGACCTTGGCTCGTCCCTCATAAGTTTCTTCAAAGAGCTTTAACTGAAACAGAAAGGCATAACACTTTGAAGGAGCATTAATAGTCCTCTAAAAGAATAGCAGCTTTCTCACCCATTAATGAAGATGTTTGTCCCTAAAAGTGCTGTCTTGTTCAATAACTCATATTATTACCATGTTCAAATCAGTTTAAAGGCCTGTTATCTGTGATGTCCCTAAATATCCCAAGGGAAGAAAAAAAACAGGAAAAGAAAGATAATGATTGGGAAGTTTGGGAATTCATATTTTATGGACACATAGTATATACAGCCCGTGATGCCTGTAAAATACAGTGAACTATCTTGTGGGACAATGTTTGACCTTTCATGCTGAGTAACAGATTGTGAACAACTAATAATCTATAATCAAAATTGTTATCAAGAATTCTCTAGTGATAAATTGTTAATGAAAAGCATAGAATGACATCCTTATTTGTTTTAAAGGCTCTTTTTTAAAAAAATTTAAGTAGATATCAAACAGAATTGGCAAGAAATAGAAAAGAAAAACATTTTTTGATTGAAGTCCTTTTTTCCCTAGGGTGATAATGTATTGATTAATACCTATAGTGGTGTTCTCAAAATCTCTGACTTCGGGACATCAAAGAGACTTGCTGGCATAAACCCATGTACTGAAACTTTTACTGGTATGTTTTTTGTGTTTTCCAATAATGATACTGATCTTATATAATGAAAGAGCTAATAGCTGAGTTTAAGCCTAAAAGATAAACTGAGTCTTTGTTCTTAGGCACATTAATATGGATGCTGTTAGATACTCACTGAAAAAAAAAAAGTACAGAATGTAACCTGTGCTTTTCTCTTCTTGTGTTTATAGGATTTACTCAGTCTCCTGATTAATACTAGTGAAGATTAGTTTTAAATCTCAATTTGTTGTTTTTCCATTTCCTGTCCTTTCATCTCTGGTTGGCCTACAGCCACTCTTAACACTGGCTTGATTACTTTCTTAAGATTACTGTTCCCAGCCCAACCACTCTGTTTCTTACTCATGCCCAAATCACTTCCCATCTGGACTCTGAATTACCTCTTTCCTAGTCTATTTTTCTACCCTAGGATCCATTCCCCTGCTTCAGAGTATAAATAACCATAGGATTTCAATTCAGAAAGAGGAAGTGACTCAGCCACTCAGAAGAGGGGTGGGGAGAGAGCTTTCCTGAGGAATTAAGCAATACAGCGTCTGAATTGCCTCTAGTACAAAGTGTTGGGAGGGTACAGACAAAGTGATTTCCAAAAAGGTACAGGTGGCCTAGAGGAAACTAAAGTTTAAGAGATGAGAGAGGATGGTAGAAGGGGTGGCTCTGATTAAGATTCATTGCACACATAAATGGATGTGTGAAAGTGAAACCCCTTTGAAGATAATAATTTCTTAAAGAGGTAAAGCACTTTGAAAAATTAACACACAGTTCAACAAAATGAATACCAGGAAGCTGTCTTTCCTAAAGATGGTAGCAATTAAGAGAAGGAGGATGGAGATTGGGAAACACAATCATAATAGTCATTGTATATAGGTGAAAATGGAATCAAGGAATAAGGAGGACAGTGGGGTTGGGACAGATGGGAGGAGGAGAGAAGGGTGAAAGGGATGACACTGTTATGGGAGGAGGAGAGAAGTTGAAAGGGATGACACTGTTAAAGATGCATTTCACACAGAAATGGATGTGCTAAACTGAAACTCCCCGGTACAGCTATTTGAAGATTATCATAGGAAGGAAAAAAGAAATCAATTATGCACCAGGAAAAAGAAGAGATTAAAAAGAGAGATGAATGACTATCAGTAGTTACAGGATGGTAGGAGGCACTGCAAAACAGCCCTCAACTTTATGTTCTTACCATTTCAATACAATGAGGCTCATGAAGCAAAAGTTTCCCTCCTCCCCTCCTTCTAATTATTGTTGTTGTTGTTGTAGTTGTTATGATTAATGGGAGAAAAACTTAACGAAGGCAATGACTAATCTTTGGCTTAATATAAAGCCATAGGGCCAGATTCTGCATTCCTAAATCCCAAACAGCAGTTGGAAGTGCCCCTGTTGTGCAGACAGGAATCAGAAGTCAGGAGAGTTTTCATAGGCCAGAGCTCAGGGTTTTAACTTACCCTTTGCTCTTTGTGCTCACCTTTGGGCTCCAATCCACCTTCTTTTTCTGCCTTGCCTACTACTTGTCCTGGTGGCCTGGGAAAAAGAAAAAAGAAATTCCCCAAGTTTGCTCCTCAGAACATTTAATCAGCCGCAGTGGGTATTTCAGGCACAGAATTACATATATTTAGAACACTTTTTTTGAATAAAATAATTTTCAGCCTACTGGGAGCTTTCGATGTCTTTGCGTGCCTTATAGTCTCTCAATTTGGCAAGAAACATTTAGTTCCTGCCAACACTCAGAAACTTCTGAGAGGAAAAGCCCTACTTTCATTCACACACTTTTGGGAGGTGGGGGAGAGAATGTTAATTTAATGTTTTTTGCTAACATTAAGACTAGACTATCAACCCTAAAATAGTTGTAGGAAACCAGTCCACAGGGCCCTTACTTGTCCCTCTCCTATTGGTCACAGGTAAAAATGACCTTAACTTATGACCTTAGTTCACTGGCCAGCACCCCTCTGAGGGTCATGGCTTACAAATCTTGATCTTCCAACACCCTACCCCTCCTAGCACTAACTCAGTGCCCTGCCAGTCTTATACTTCCGTACCTTGATGAACTGTAGCTGGAAGACTGTGATCTGTTTCTTCTCTTGGTGATTTGGTGAGGGGAAAGGCAACAGTGACGGTCATTGATAGAATACTTACTGCATCCCTGACTGCTGAGCACCTTATTCACACTGGCATTCCTTCAACTACCCTAACATTAGGTATCATTAGCTCATTTTACGATGAGAAAATTAAGATTCAAAGAGTTTAAAATAATTTGCCCAAGGCCACAAAGCTAATTAGCAACAGAGCTGAGGTTTAAACTAGACTTGACATGCCACAGAGAACTCATTATCTTCTCCCCAAACCTGTTCCACCCACTCTCTTCCTTGTCTCAGACAGAGTTATCACTGGCAGCTTCTCTTACTCGCCAAGCCAATCATCAAGAAGGCCCATTGGCTCCACCCACAAAACGGTTCAGAATTGGATCTGTTCTCACTCTTCTTCCCTCTACCACCTCCTCTCACTATGATACTCAGTCCAGCTCCCAACTGTTCTCCTTTCTCCACTCTTGCCCCCTACTGTCTGTTCTCAACACAGCAGCCCAGTGAGATCCTTTTAAAACACATCAGTCAAGCCAGGCACAGGTACTGGTGGCTCACACCTGTAATCCTAGCTACTATAAAGGTTGAGATCTGAGAATTATGGTTCAAAGCCAGCACAGGAAGAAAAGTCTATGAGATTCTTACCTCTAGTTAACCAACAGAAAGCTAGAGGTGGATTTATGGTAGAATGCTTGCCTTGAGGAAGCCCAGAATTGAAGCTCCAGTACTGGTACACACACACACACACACACACACACACACACACACACACACACGTCAAGCTCCAGTATTAGTACACACACACACACACACACACACACACACACACACACACACACACACACACACATGTCAAGCCCTATCACCCAGAGCTATCCATGACTTTCTATTTCTTTTAGAAAACAAATGCAGAAGTCCTTACAAGGTGCTGGACAAGGCTCACATGTCCCTTCCTACTGTTCCCTGCTTGCATATTCTGCACCTTCCTGCATTTCCTCATGACACCACTCAAGGTAATGTTTCAGGTCCTTTGCACATTCTTCTGTGCAGACACAGAATGTTTTTCTCACAGCTACTAGCATAGCTTCAGCTCCTTGATGCCTTAATCCCAATGTCACCTCCCCAGTAAGACCTCCCATGAATTTCTTCTTGACCATGGGAGCCTTCCTGGGGCTTCTGGTTCCCTTTACCCTGCTCTATTTTTTTTCCATTTGTAATAACATGTGACTTTCTACCATACTATATATAGTTTACTTACCCATATGATAATACTTTGTTATTTGTCTTCCACTGAAAAATGCAAGCACCATATGCCCAGGATTTCTACTTATTCCACTCCTTTATTCTATATACCTCAAAGAATACTCGATTGATAGTAGACTTCGTATAGACCTGTGGACACTCCAGTGTTCACAGCTGCAGTGGCAAGAAATTCTCAAATTTATATTGGAATTTTTGTTTGTTTGTTGTTGTTGTTTTGTTGTTGATAGTGGTGGTAGGGGTGGTAATAGTGGTGTCAGTATGTAGCACAAGTTGGCCTTGAACTCACTTCAGTTTAAACTCAATGTGATAGCTAACATCTGTAATCCTAGCTACTTAGATGATAAAGATAGGAGAATCAGAGTTCAAGGCATACTTGAATAAAATAAATAAAATAAAAATTATCAAGACTTTAATAAATAAAGCTGGGTTAGCTGAACACTGGTGATTTGCGCCAGTAATTCTTTTTTGTTGTTGTTGGTCATGGGGCTTGAACTCTGGGCCTGAGTGCTGTCCCTCAGCTCTTCAGCTCAAAGCTAGCACTCTACCACTTGAGCTATAGCACCACTTCCGATTTTCTTGTGGTTTATTGGAGATAAGAGTTTCACGGACTTTTCTGCCCGGGCTGGCTTTGAACCAGGATCCTCAGATCTCAGCCTCCTGTGTAGTTAGGATTACAGGTGTGAGCCACTGGTGCCTGGCTTGTGCTGGTAATTCTAACTATTTAGGAAGCTGAAATCAGTAGGATCTTAGTTCTAGACCAGCTCCCAGGGAGGAAAACTCCATGAGACTCCAGCTTAACAGAAGAAATAGGGCATAGTGGCATATACTTGTCATCCCAGTTATAATGGACATCTTAAAATAGATGGATCTTTATCTAAGTACATCCTAAGACAAAGAAGTGAGATTCTCTCTCAGAAATAACTGGCACAAAAAAAGAACTATAGGCATGGCTCAGTGGTAGACCATTTGCCTGCCTCAAGTATGAGTCCCTGAGTTCAAAACTCCAGTACTTAAAAGAGAAAATAAAAAGCTTGGTATAGTAGAGTACACCTGCCATCCCAATCCTAGCTACTAGCAAGGTAGGTGTAAGGATCACAGTTTGAGGCCAGCCCAGGCAAAGTTACCAAGACCCTCTCTTAAAAAATAAAAATTGGCCGGGCGCCTGTAGTCCTAGCTACTCAGGAGGCTGAGATCTGAGGATCAAAGCCAGCCTGGGCAGGAAAGTCTGTGAGACTCTTATCTCCAATAAACCACTAGAAAACCGGAAGTGGTACTATGGCTCAAGCGGTAGACTAGCACTGGCCTTGAACTAAAGAGCTGAAGGGTAGCACCCAAGCCCAGAGTTCAAGCCACACGACTGACAAAAAAAAATTATACAAAGATCTAGGAAAGCACAGCATAGCTCAAGTGGCAGAGGTTTGCCTAGCAAACTTGAGATCCTCAGTTCAATATCACAAAAAGACACAAAAATTACACAATTAATGGGATACCATGTGATTTTCAATACATGTGTGAATTATGTAAAGTCCAAATCAGGATGGTATTATCATTTCTTGGTGATAAAAACATTTAAATCCCTGTGTCTGGATTTTTTGAAACATACAACACATGATCATCAGCTATGCACACTTACTGTAGAGCAGAGCTCCTCCTATTTCACCATAACTTATTAAGTCATTAACCACCTTCCCCTCCTGCTCCCTTGCTTCTCCCCTCCCTACCTCCCTTGCTTCCCCCCCCTGCCTCGTTTCTGGTAGCCATTATTCTCTGCTTGGCTTCTCTGAGATCAGTCTTTTTGGACTCCACATGGGTAAGATCTGTGGGATTCATCTTTATGCCTGGCTTATTTCACTGACCACAGTGTCCTCTAAAATGAAGACCGAAAGGATATGTACTCAATTCATTATCTGAGAAGTATAGATCTAAATCATTGAATGAATGAAATAGATTTTTTTTCCTGGAAAAGATTAGAAGTACATGTAGCAACCATATTTATATATTTTCAGAACTGAATGCAGCAGATATGTTGATATATTCTCTGTTGTTTTCAGAAGACTGAGGGTGGAGTAGTATGCACCTGTATACTCCACTATTTTAGAGACTAAGAATATACCTCTTCAAGCCGGGCGCCAGTGACTCACACCTGTAATCCTAGCTACTCAGGAGGCTGAGATCTGAGGATCACGGTTCAAAGCCAGCCCGGGCAGGAAAGTCCGTGAAACTCTTATCTCCAATAAAAACCACCAGAAAACCAGAAGTGGCGCTGTAGTTCAAGTGGTAGAGCGCTAGCCTTGAGTTGAAGAGCTGAGGGACAGCATCCAAGCCCAGAATTCAAGCCCCATGACCGACCAAAAAAAAAAAGAATACACTTCTTCATAAGTAGATAATATTGGTGATAGTTGTATCACTGATAGGATTCATGATAAAAGTGGCCCTTTTCATTTCAATAACAGCAGAGGAAAAAAATTGAACTTCAAAGAAAATGAGGTGCTAGGATACAAATCATGTCTTATTTATGCAGAAAAAAAGTTATCTATCTGTCCCCGGTTTTCAAGTGGAATTGTGTTTAAATCATTTCCAGGTACCCTTCAATACATGGCACCAGAGATCATTGATAAAGGCCCGAGAGGCTATGGGAAGGCGGCAGACATTTGGTCTTTGGGCTGCACAATCATCGAAATGGCCACAGGAAAACCACCCTTCTATGAACTAGGAGAGCCGCAAGCAGCCATGTTCAAGGTCGCATTTTCTTCTTTTTTTTCTTTTCCTTTCTTTTCTTTGTGTGTGTGCTCCTCACACACACATATGCTGGTACGGGGATGAACTTGGGGCCTAGGCTCTTTTTGCTCAAGGCTAGAGCTCTACTACTTCTGGGTTTTTTGGGTGCTTAATTGGAGATAAGAATTTCACAGACTTTTCAGCCTGTGCTGGCTTTAAACTGTGACACTCAGATCTCAGCCTCCGTAGTGGCTAGGATTACAGGCATGAGCCTATAATTTTCTTCTGTTTTAAAAACGAGGAGATAAGGGTTTCCATAGCCATGTTCTATATATACATGCTTTTTAAGGAAAATATCTCGAGTAACCAGAAGTTGAAAGCACATTCAAGTTCAAGAAGACAGACAGACAGACAGACAGATACACACACACACACACACACACACACACACACACACACACACTTATTGCCCTCGTCTCACATGGTGGACCTGTCTCTGCTTTAGTTTTCTCAATTCTGAAGTGAGATTCAGGATAATATTCTTCAACTATTCAATATCCCAGAATAAGACATCATTATAGGAAAGATGAGTTAAGCTCTTTTGGGAAACCATATGAATATTTTTCCACATAGGGCAATGTAAGATATATTTGTGCTTTTTTTTTTTTTGCCAGTCCTAGGTTTTAACTCAGGGCCTGGGCACTGTCCTTGAGCTCCTTTTGCTCAAGGCTAGCACTCTACCATTTGGCCACAGCACCACTTCGGGCTTTTTCTGTATATGTGGTACTGAGGAATTGAACCCAGGATTTCATGCATGCAAGGCAAGCACTCTACCTCTGAGCCACCTTCCCAGTCCTATTTATACTCTTAACATCCAGAAATTCAATCAAATTGATATTTTCCTTTATTTCTTGACCATATAAATTTCAAGAGTCCATTTTTTTAAAGCGCATAATTGCCGTTTTTGAAAAGGTCAACCATTTTCAAGCCTGTTAACTTGCTAATAAGCAATGCTTTAGGGAAGGGAAGCATGCTCCCCCGCCCCTCCAGCCATGATTAGAGGCACTGACATGGAAATAAACATGAGTGAGTCCAGGTGCCATGATTTGGACACCTGACCAGTGAGTGAGGCAGTGACCTGACTGTACTGGGCCAGCAGGAAGTTTTCCATGGTAACTGTTTCCTAGGAAGCAAAGCCCTCCTACATGTTACCTTCTGTTCTTGGCAAGTCCTTCCAGTTTTCACCATTCTCAGGTTTCACTCTGAAGTGCTGTTCTACTACTAATAGTGCAGTGATTATTATTGTTACACCTCTGTATGCCATAGGCCAGGCTGAGCTGTGCACAGAAGTGACACTGTCTCTAAGAGATGATATTACATAGATTCTGACAATGGTTAAATCTAGGCTGAATTGAAATACTTCTGAATCCTGGCTTTAACATAATCAAGATAGTTGAGACTTTGAGCAAATTACCACCTCAGCTTCCATGTCTATAGAGGGAGATAAAAATAATACCTAAGGACTTGCCTAGCAAGTGTAAAGCCCTATGTTCAAAGCCAAATCTCTCTCTCTCTCTCTCTCTCTTTCTCTCTCTCAGACACACAAAATAGTACTTATCTAAACAGATTTTTGAGATTTTGAGCACTTAGAATAGTGTCTAACACATAGTAAAGCTCCATAATTATTAAAAATTGTTTATATAAGAATATGTATAAGCTATAGAACAACAGAAATATTTCTTAGAACATTTTCTCTTCGTTAAATATGTGAAAACATCATTAGACTTTTTTTAGAATGATAGCAATGGGAAGTAAATTCTAAATGTGATAGAAAATACTATTTATTTAATCTTTTTTTTTTTTTTGTCAGTATGGGGCTTGAACTCTGGGCTTGGGCGGGCGCTGTCCCTCGCTCTTTAGCGCAAAGTGAACACTCTACCACTTGAGCCACAGCGCCACTCTGGTTTTTCTAATGGTTTTATTGGAGATAAGAGTCTCATGGACTTTCCTCCCCAGGCTGGCTTTGAACCGTGATCCTCAGATCTCAGTCTCCTGGGTAGCTAGTATTACAGGTGTAAGCCATCAGTGCCCAGCTATTTATTTAATCTTAAAGTACTTTTTTTATATGGTACTGGCATTTGAACTTATGACTTCATGCTTGCTAGACAGGAATTCCACTGCATGCGCCATGCCATTAGCCCTTTTTGCTCTAGTTATTTTTGAGATAGGATCTCACTTTTTTGCCCAGGACAAAGTAGACCTCCATCTTCCTATTTATGCTTTCTGCCATAGCTGGGTTGACTGGTGCTCACCACCATGCTCACTTGATGGTTAAGATGGGGTCTTTTGAACTTCTCCTAACTTCCCATTCTCTCCATCTCTATCTCCCAAGTAGCTAGGATTAGAGACATGATCCACTGCCTAGCTAAAAATCTCTCAATATAGATGATTTAAAATAGGGAAAAAATTCATAAATTACATAATAGGGGAATCAACATAGGCTTTAATCCAATCCAATCAAGGTTTAAATCCCAGATCTACCTTTCCATAACCATGTAACCTCATTTCTCCTGAGCCTTCGTTTTCTCATTGGTGTAAGGAGAATAATATTTACACTACTGGGTTGTTGGGAAAAATCCCAGCACTGTATCTTCACATTGCTATTCTAAGCAACTCAACAGTCTCACCTCCAAACATGTTTGTGGAGTAACAACCTTCAAACATATTCTAAGTTTAAAGAGCCTTCATATTAACACAGCAATGTATAGTACTTCATAATGCTGTCTTCTGTCTTAAGCTAATTGTTCCTTGTGTATCTGTGGTAGAGTTACAGTAGCACTGGAGAAGTTTCTGTGCTCAGGAGGTGCTGCGTAGCTACAGAGGCAGCACGTCCGCCTCACGTGGAGATGTACCTGCAGGGTACATGATGAGGGAGAGGGGGCAGGCAGGTCATGGGTCCTGGAGCTCACGTGATGAAATGGCCACTTGGAAGACACATTGTGTTCTCTCTGTCTGTGCCTTAGGTGGGGATGTTTAAAGTTCACCCTGAAATCCCTGAGTCCATGTCTGCAGAGGCCAAGGCATTCATACTGAAGTGTTTTGAACCAGACCCTGACAAGAGAGCCTGTGCTAATGACTTGCTTGTTGATGAGTTCTTAAAAGTTTCCAGCAAAAAGAAAAAGACACAACCCAAGCTCTCAGGTATGTGGCTGCATGAAAAGGATATGGGTCAAAAGGAGGATACTCTTAGGGGCGGGACACAAAGGTACAATGCCTATGTGCCTCGGATTATGTTTGTATTTATTGAAATCAACTCCAGGAAATGGAAACAAGAGTTTGTGGTTTTTTTTTGTTGTGGCTTTTATTTTATTTTCTTTTTGTCTTGTTTGTTCAGTTATCAGTTATTTGGGAAAGTGGGGGGGGGGGCACAGAAATGGAGGGACAAAGGGGGAAAAACGTAGCAGTGGTACTCAGTGGACACTATGTTGAAAATGAACTACACAACTTGTGAGTGGGGATGGGAGGGAAAAACTGGGAGAGAATGAGGGAAGGGTTGATATTGTCCAAAAAGAAATGTACTCCTCTTTATCTGACTTATGAAACTATAACCCTTCTGTACATCATGTTTATAATGTTTTTTTAAGGACATGGGTCAGAGTCTCTAAATTCTGAATTTTAACATGAGAGAATTTTCTAGAAGTAGACTAATCTGTTTCTGAACATCACTGGCACAGTGTTCTTGGACACTATTCACAAATGCTAGTTTCTCATTAATAGTCGTGTTCCATAACACAGTTTGTAATTAATACAGCAACATCTGGAACATTCTAGCATTGTGAATAAAAAGGTTAACGTGTGAAAAGGGGAAATGTAGCCCCTCCAAGCTGAAACCTCAAATTTCCATGAATGAGCTACAGGGCTGTTCAGAACTGTTCAACTTCCACGCCATCTCAGGACTGGATCCTTATAATTGTCTGTAGAAGGAAACACCTGCTTTCCCTCAGACAGTATCTTTCTGAATAATCCCCAGAAGGAAAAAAGAGATTGTTACCTGTGATAAAAATGTAAGTAAATTATCTTTGTGTAACAAATAATTTACATAACTCATTCCAGAAAGAAACAAATGCGTAAAGGCTCAGTTTATTCTTGGCATTTGGGGTGTTTCTATTGGATGAGGATGGGCAGATTGAATATTTGGAAAGCTCATGGATCCCATTTCAAGCATTCACTGTTTGTTGATTTCTGATTAATAACAAAGCCAACATGTGCCTCATCCTGCTGTTTGCTTTTCTTCCCACAGTTCTTTCTACTGGATCCAATGGTGAGTTTGCTTTTTACCTTATGTCCATTGAGTTGAGGATTGGCATGTGGTGTGATAAACTCTGCTGCACAGCCTCATCCTCGCCCATTGTCTGTGTAGGAAGCTTCTGAGTACTAAGAATGTGTGCAGCTATGAACCTGGCTGGCTTCAGTGTTTCAGAAACTGCTCATCTATCTCTTCTATGAAGGAGGCCTCAATTATTGTCCCCTGCATACAAGAGAGTGCCATTGTTTTTTAAGTCTTCAATTTGAATGAAGTCCATGCCTTCTTATTTAGGAGCCAGCTGACAAGCTGACCACCTAATGGTGGCCATTGTAAAAGGTCAGCATCAGGCACCTTCCTCAGTCGTCTGTGGAATAGTACCTTCTTTCTGTAGTGGGTCAGGAAAGCTATATTTGTTTCCCTAACTGGCTTTTAACCAGACAGATTTGCTCTGGGAAGTTCAGCCAAAGTATTTTAAAGAATAGTAAAGAAGCATTCAGAGTTTGGGATTCTATTAGATTAGATGAGTAGTTGATGGAAGTGGTGTATATTGGATGAATGAATGTATAGGCCTAACAGAAGGAATGGGGGGAGTCTAATACTTATTGTGTATGCATACTATGGTCCAAAGGGAGGAGACGTAGGTCTTTGCATGCTTTTCAGTTTTTCAGATATGCTAAGCCAGTCAATGCACTGTTGAGGCCCATTACTTGGGGGTTCCTGGGAACTATCTCTCTATTTCTCCTCCTGCCATTATGAATTTTTGATGAAGAGTTTCTGAGAAAGGCAAGATACCTCCCTCTGCCATTGCCTGCTTCCTCCCCTCATATTCTGGGCTGTGGAAATCAGTGAGTCACTACATTTTTTTTTAACCAGGTATAACCTCCAGTGTTTCTCAGCCTTCTGAGCGAGCATCCTGTTGGCATACATGGAAGTTGGTTTTCATTTTTTGTAGCCACTTTCTAGATATATCATATGTGACAGCTTACTTGTTTTAGCTGTCACTCTAGTGTCACTCTGATCCCTTCCATGTGGCCTGGGTTTTGCTCACAGGAAACAAGTTCCTGTCACACAAGCATTTAACTTCTGTGGACTCAGTTATGCACACTGTTGAGTTGGCAGTTCCCAGTGAGCATTGCCAGAGTGGGGGTGTGATGGGAGGTTACATCCACTGAACTGGTCAGTTGTGCCTTCATGTACATTCTCACCTTTGTGCTCAGGCTGATTCAATAGGAGTTTGGAATCTGCTCTGTCTTTACAATGTAACTCCACTTAAGATATTATGAAATCTTGAGGATTTATAGTCAGGGAGGGTGAGTATTAAGCACACATCTGGGTTCCCTTGTTGACTGGTGGGCCTTGAACATGACTCACTCTGTCACCACATCTGTCCAGTGGGTTCAACTGCACTACCTGCTCATGGGAGTGTGGGGAGAAAATGAGACACTTATTCTCACTGCAGCTCTATACTACTTGCTCTGGACCCCTGATCAAGGTACTAATTTCTTAGTACCTTGTTGGTACCAAGAGGCTTGTTAGAAGTTGTGGGCAATAGCCTGAAGGTTCCCTACCCTTCTCCTAAGGGCCTCCTGATTTTTCCAAAGTCAAAACTGCCCTAGGCCTCCTGATGCGCTGGACCTTTTACCTGCTAGTATATATCTCTCCTTGCTCTGCCTTCTCTCCTTTCCTAGTTAAGACAAAGACTTGGGCTTATAAAGAATGGACACTCCTGCAATCTACACATACAGATTCTCAGCTGAAGGAATTTCTTTGCATGAACGAGATGGTCCTGAGTGCTTCTCTATCCTCCCAAGGAAAGCAAAACATGTACCAAACTAACTAGGAAGGAAGCCCCGTACAATTGTTTTCTGGTATTCCCGAGACCTTCAGAACTTCTTGCAAACTATAACCATGAGAACATCCTGGTCTTCCTCTTCTAGATCAGTATGTGCAACAGGCCTTTTCCTTTCCCCATTGTCCTTTATAGGCCATATGCCTGTTTCTTTCTAAAGTATACCCACTGCCCTGCCTTAGGGTCTCTGCCTTCTATAACTGCATGTGGCTTCTGCTAGGGAAAGTTGTGGAAAGGTGATGATGATGAGGTCCTCTTTTTCCTATGATGAGAAATATATCTTAGTCCTTTTCTGTTGCTATGACCAGATAGCACACATTAGATCATTTATAAGACAAAGAGGCTGATTTAGCTCCCAGTTCTGGAGGGTCAGAAGCATGGTACCAGTGTCTGCTTCAGAGCTGTTGAGTGCCTGCTTGCCAGCAGGGGCTCTCTCTCAAAGTCCCAAGGTGGCGCCCAGCATCACATGGGAAAACAGAGCCAAAAAGGCAGAGAGAGACCATTTTCATGACAAAGCCATTCCTATCTAACCCATTAATCCTCTAATCCACTAATTCTTTGGTGGAACTCCATGCAGCATCTACCATCACGACCCAGTCACCTAACAGTTCCACGTGATGTCACTTGTGAATACCTCATAACAGAAGTGAAGTTTGGCCATGAGTTTTGATGGGATATTTGAACTATAGCACATGAATGATTTGTCTAAACCCAACAGCTCCCCCAGTAACCGCGTGCAGACCTAGAGATTTAAGTCATCCACTTTAACTTAAGTATTTATTGCATACTTGCTGTGTGCACAGGAAATGTGCCAGGCCTGGATGTTTAATGATGATAAAGGTTGTGGTCCTGGCTTACAGAGCTATTGCTGATGTAGAGGAGACACAGGGGACAAATGTCAACCATACAATAGTATAAGTTACTCTGTACAAAGAAAACTTCAGAGGGGGAGAGCCTCACTGAAGTCAGTCTGAGTGTGTGAGTTCCGTGAAGACTTTCTGTGGGGTGAGACCTGAAGAATCAAGATGGCCATCCAACAAATGGTCTGTTCAGTCACTGTATATTGGATGAATGAATGTATGGCCTAACAGAGAAGGAAAATCAGGTTTACTAATTTAAAATCAGTCAGAGAAGGGACCAAGACTGTACATTCAGAGACTGCAAAACATCTGCAAATCTATTTCTGAGATGAGCCATAATGACACACACTGGGTTCCATTCTTAAGTGTATTCAGTCTTACTTCAACCAGTCTCCTTATAGGCAATCAGTATCTATAGCAACCTTAAAATTCACAGATAGAACCTAGGCTCTCTCATTACTGGAAAGCAAACTACATAATAAGACCAAAAGAGTAAAAAAGCAGTATAATTAAGGCCTCCTTCTTTCTTGTGTTTAGATGAAGATATGTGCAAAGTGTAAAGAACTCTCATGTGGTAGTAGTCTAGATAGAATAAACCTGCTTGGCCCCAAGAAATATTGATTCTGTTTTCTAAAGACAGTCCCTCCACTTCTTTTTCTTTTTTCTTTTATCTTTAGATTTGTGTACGAGGGTTTGAAGTTAGGGCCTCACACTTGTTGGCTTGCTTGCTTGGCTGGCACTCTACCACTTGAGGCATGCCTCCCGCCCTTCTTTTTGTCAATATGGTTGGGGATGAAATTTCAAGGAGTTTTCTGCCCAAGCTGGCTTTGAACCTCAATCCTGTGGATCTCAGCTTCCCATGTAGCTAGAATTACAGTAGTGAGTCACAGCTCACCTCCATCTCTGATGGCTGTACATACTGTAAAGAGTATCACCCATGTCTGGACTGGTAAAGAAGCTATGAGCCTCCTGGAACATGTCTGTCTTTCCTCTGATCTCTGAGATGTGGGCAGTTGTTGACTTGTCCCTGCTCAAGAAAAATTAAATAAGAGGTTTCTAGGCAACAGTGGGTTTCTCTTTTTAGAACTTTACACCTGCCTTCTTTAGCAAAAGATGTTTGCAGCACTGAGATATTAAAGAAGTTTTTGGCAAAAGTTATTCTTTTTATAGTCAATGTTTGATGAAATGTAGGCAACTGCTATTGTGTTACATGACTCAGTAAAATAGAAGCCCCTGTTTGCTATAAAATCCTAGTACTCATAGTATCTGAGAACCAGGAAGGGCTAAAGTCCCTTAGTTTCCAAAATTTTGTGCACAAAGAGTGCTTTTTCAATGTATCTGTAAGCTGAACCATGACATAAGTTGTCAGAGCATATTTGTTTTAAGTAAAACAGGACTAGACCCTGTGGTTTAGACCCACAGCACCTTACTTAGTCACCCCTTCTTTTTCTTTTTTTTTTTTTGGTCGGTTGTGGGGCTTGAACTCTGGGCTTGGGTGCTGTCCCTCAGCTCTTCTTCTCAAGGCTAGCACTCTACCACTTGAGCCACAGCGCCACTTCCAGTGTTCTGGTGGTTAATTGGAGATGAGAGTCTCACGGACTTTCCTGCCTGGACTAGCTTTGAACTGTGATCCTCAGATCTCAGCCTCCTAGTAGCTAGGATTACAGCCACCAGCACCCAGCTTTAATCACCCCTTCTAAGACAGCCCCAAGATGCTAAGGCAGAGTGTTAAATCTCTGAGGATTATGGCTTAAAAATTACTCTTCTCAGCTGGATGTGGTAGCTTACTCCTCTAATCTTAACTGTATAGAAATGAAGATGGGAAAGAAGAAATTCTGTGATATGCCACCTCAACCAGTTTTTTAAAAGCTGTGCATAGTGGCATGCACCTATCTTCCCAGATATGTTGGGAGTATAAATAGGAGTATTTCTGTCCAGGGCCATTTAGGCAAAAATGGAAGACTCTATTTTTTTTTTAAAAAAAAAAACTAACAAAAATGTTTGGAAATATGATTCAAGTGGTAAAGCACCAGCCTACCAAGTACAAGGCCCTGAGTTAAAACCCCAATACCACGGAAAGTAAATAATGTATCTCATCTTTTATAGATATGAAAACTGTGAGTACAAATAATTAAGTCATTATTTAAAACAAGGCAGATCAGCACCCTGGCTCTCCAGGCCTGATCTTTTCTTATGTTTTTCACCCTTGAACTATTCCCAGCAGGACCGCAGAGGCCCTTTCCTAGCGGACCCTCGCCTGGGCTGTACTGAGCAAGGGAATTGCCTCATGTAGTACCATTGTGCTGCTCATGAAATATTTGACAACGGATAATCGTCTCTTTCAACCAGTGTTTCAACCAACGTGTCAAGTTTTTGAGATCTTTAATTACCCTATTTCCTCCTCCCATCCCCGCAGAGTATCTTAGGAGCATCTCCTTGCCAGTCCCTGTCCTGGTGGAGGACACCAGCAGCAGCAGTGAGTACGGCTCAGTGTCACCCGACACGGAGTTGAAGGTGGACCCCTTCTCTTTCAAAACCAGAGCCAAGTCCTGTGGAGAAAAAGATGTGAAAGGAATACGAACGCTTTTTTTGGGGTAAGGATTCAACTTCTTTCGGGTGAAAATACATTGTGCTTATAATATCCTAGCTCCTCAGGAGGCTGAGATCTAAGGATTGCAGCTTGAAGCCATCACAGGTAAAGTCACCAGACTCTCCTCTCCAAAACTCAGAAGTAGAAGTGTGTGCTTGAAGTGATAGAGTGTCAGCTAAGCAAGAGTGCAAGATCTTGAGTTGAAATCTTAAGACTGGCGTGCACGCGTGCATACACACACACACACAAAACACTGCAAAGCACATCGTTTTATAAAGGAAACTGATTGATGTTGCATGCATTTTTAAAGCATTCCTGATGAAAATTTTGAAGATCACAGTGCCCCACCTTCCCCTGAGGAGAAAGACTCCGGCTTCTTTTTGCTGAGGAAGGACAGTGAACGACGAGCCACCCTTCACAGGATCCTGACCGAAGACCAAGACAAAGTTGTACGAAACCTAATGGAATCTTTAGTCCAGGTAAAGCATCTCGTGTCCATCTCATTTCCCAAAGTTTATATTATTTTATTGCCCAGGCTGGCCTTGAACTCCTGAATTCAAATGATCCTCTAGTTCAACCTCTCAGGTAGCTTGAACTATAAGCCTAAGCCATCATACCCAGCCCAAAATCTGTGTGTGTGTATGTGTGTGTGTGTGTGTGTGTGTGTGTGTGCGTGCATGTGCGCACACATGCATGTGTGTATACACGTGTATTCAGGGCCTTGAGCTTGCTGGGCTGACACTCTACTGCCTCCAACCCTTTTTTCCTAATTTTTTTTTTCCTGTGCTACTGGAGATTGAACTCAGAGCCTCACAGTTGTTAGGCAAATGTTCTACCACTCAAATTGTGCCTCCAGCCCCACTTCACATTGGTTATTCGCAAGGTAGGGTGTTGCTTTATGCCTCTTCTGCTTTCTGGACAAGCTTTGACTTGGTCCTAATGGAAACCTATCACTAGCAGTTAGACTTAGGCTAGCAAGAAGGTGAGAGGTAGCTAGGTAGGAGTGTGGAGTAGGGTGTGGGTTGAGTATACTAGACAGTCCCATTGTGGTCCAAGGACTAAGAATAGGATGGTTCTGGTAAGAGAAGCTCGATATAAATGGAGAACAACTGGCCAGTGCATTCCTTCCTTCACCAAACTCTTTACTAGTCACCTTCAAATGCGAGGTGCTTCAGGATGCTGTGGACAAAACAAAATCTGTGCCCCACCAAAGTTGTCATCCTAGTAGAGGAAAAACTAAAATTAGCTAATTATATATTAAATATGTAGTAATTATAACAAACAAGAGATGCCTGGGTCAAGTCTTGTTCATAGTCCTGTTCGTACGTATTTGCTCGTTGAATCCTCATGACGGTTACATTAGTGTCCTCATCTATAAGGCGCATAGAACTTAAATAGCTTGCTGAGGTTCTGTAGTCCTAAGTGGTGAAGTCAGGATTTGGAAGCAGGCAACCTGACTTCGTGTGGTGTATTCTTAACCAGCATTGTATTCTGCTCTCTCCTGTGGCCTATGGAGACAGATTCTGGGAGAAAACAGCAGGACTGTCAAAGGCCAGAATGACTTTTAGCCACCATAGAGGGAAGACTTTTCCTTTGCCACTAGTTTAGAAACGTGTAGAATCCCAGAATTGCCCAAATCCTGAAAGCATATCATAGAGGTAAAGTTTTCCAGTATAAAAAATGTCCACTTGTGTGGGGAATTTCTTCATCTCCTATAGCTCCCTCAGGACAGGCGTGGCCTGGACCATTGCTCTAACCCCAGCCCTTGCACAGAGCCTGGCCAGAGACATCACTTCTGTGACTGTGCTGAAATTCTGATTTTTTTTTCTGTTTTTCCTAGTGCTGTGGATTGAACCCAGAACCTTAGTACATACTTAGTGTAAGCTCTACCACTGGGCTATACCCCAGCCCCAAATTCCTAAATTTTGAAGGTGATTAAGCATATTCAAACGTTTGTTAGCTCCTAGTTTTTAAAGCTTATCTGAATATTTCCTATAAGAAGAAAAATGAAAGACAGCCATCAATGCAGCATGCAAATGATAGGCTACCCACCAGGGAGTAGCAGAAATGGTTGACCAGAAGCACATGTTCAAGCTGGAATGGTCAAGCCATAGTGCGGGCCGTGTACCATTCAGGACACTGGAAATATTTTTCCTGGGATGTCACATGGTGGTTTTGTGGCAAGAGCAGGTTTGATCTTGGATTCTAGCTGACTTTTCCAGTAAATGGAAGTGGCAGGAGCTTAGAGTGAGGTTGGACTTTATCACTGTTGAAGGCCTGGTGCCGCCTTTCAAAGGCTGTGTGACTTGGGCAAGTTATTGACCTTCTCAGTGCCTGAACCGTTTCTGTGTGATAGGGGAATCTACCTTATAAAGTTACTACTGGAAAGCATTGAAGTCATGGGCAACTTAGATCATCACAGATATGGTTGCTCAATTGTTAATTACAGTGGTTATTATAAAGAAGGAGAATAATATACCTCTTCAACTGTTTTCTACAGCCAGAAAGAAATAGTTCTTAATGTTTTCTACAACAAAAAAGAGCTAACTCTTTTTAATGTTTCTTAAAAAAAAATGCTAGATACATCTTTACATTTCAATCTACCCTTTATAATAATATCAAGGGCAAGAGGGTAGCTAGGTTCTCAATATGCAAAACCATGAAAAGCTCTTTTAATCTGTACCATCTTCAGAAATCCTCTTGTGATTTGTGTGTGTGTGTGTGTGTGTGTGTATGTTTGTGTGTGCCAATACTGGTTAGTGCTCTATCAGTTCAGTCCCAGCTCTACTTTACAGTTTTTAGTGTTAAGTTGGAGGTAAGAGTCTCACTGACTTTCCTGCCTGGTTGGCTTGGTCCCCTGGCTCTTAAATCTCAGCCTCCTGAGTATCTAGAATTTACAGGTGTGAGCCATGGATGCCTGGCTCCTCTCATGCTTTGTAAGGAAGCTTAAAAAAAAGAGAGAGCTGCAGAAGATGTGGGGAGCTGTCCTGTGAGTGCTGCAGAAAGGCACGCTGTCAAATGCTGAGTCAGCCACTGTCCCCCCCCCCCCCCACTGAAAATGCCCAATTAATAAGGGCACATGATGAGTTAACATAGAGCAACGGGAGGTGGGACAGCAATTAACACAGAAATAGCGATTACGCAAGGGAATGAAACAGCCTGGACAGGAAACCTTTCCCAGAGCAGAGAATGTGTGACACACGGAACATCCAAAAACTAGAAGCAACATGTTTTTCTGTTGTGAAAACAAAGCTAATGTGAATACTTATGTTTGCTGTTGGACTTGTTGGCAAATGTATAAACGGTGCCTTTAGTAAGATAAGTTTTCAATTTCTCAATAACTCACATGTTTTCCTGGACATATTTTCCTAGTGTTAGGGTTTTGCCTGTAAATCTTGACTTTGGGTATAATTTACAGTAAGAAAAACAAAAATACTCAAGGCTAATAATTATTTCCAGTGTGATTTTGAAAATTTCATAATGGTAGCTCTTAAACTTTTCAATGTAATATTCCTCCATAAAAATATAAAAAATGGGGCAGACCTCCCAAATGAAAATATCTTCAGAGAAAAACTGGATGGTTTCTTTTTTTATTTTAATATAGTCCTAGAAATTGTAATGTTTACAGCCCAGTTGAGAAAATTAACTTTAATGTGCTGCAGTTTAAAAAGTGTGCAATATGAGATAGAAATAAAAATTCTGTTATGGCTGGGTGACAGTGGCACTTATCTATAATCCTAGCTAGGAAGTGGCGCTGTAGCTCAAGTGGTAGAGTGCTCGCCTTGAGCTGAAGAGCACAGGGACAGTGCCCAAGCCCAGAGTTCAAGCTCCACGACCGACCAAAAAAAAAAAAAATTCTGTATAATCCTAGCTACTCATTTCAGTTCAAAGCCAGCCCAGGTAGGAAAGTCCGTAAGACTCTTATCTCCAATTAATCACCAAAAAGCCAGAAATGGAGCTCTAACTCAAGTGGTAGAGTGCCAGCCTTGAGCAAAAAAGCCATATATTGTACTGTATATCCTTTCTAAGATCACTGTACCTTACTCAAAGTAAAACCATTCTAAGAGTTTAAATATTATGTTTCAATATGTCAAATTGTCCATAGGATATTGCCTCATTGGTGGGCAAAGAATAGTTTTAAGGATGGAATTTGAGATCACCCCCCTTGATTTGCTAGGAATTTAAGGGCGATGGAAGTACTGAGACCCTGTGATCGGGATACACTAGTTGAGACATGCTGTGGGAAACATACTTCCCAATGAGGGAAATGGATACTCAGCCATAGTTCCTGGCTGAGACTCTCGAAGACCAAAGCATGTGATTCCCAGTGACTTCAAACTCCCGGAGTTTGTACTCCTTTTCTCTTCTGCTGTTTGTCCTCTTGGTGTGCATTTCCATGTCTGTCCGTTTCTCTTTTTCTATGGTCATTCTCAGCTTCATGGCTTTCACCTCCTTCCTTATAATTGGATACATTTATGGCCCTGTTTTATGACCTCTTTCTGGACAGACTTTGGAATTAAGACACTATAGCTTATTGCCTGAATCTTGAGTAAGATTTTACTTGAGTAAATCTACTTGAGTGAAATTTCTGAGGAATCTCATTACCTCAGCCTGTCTCTGGCTATTGGCCAATATGCAGAGTAAGTACGCTGTCTCCTAAAGTCTAGCTCTTGGTTGGTGGTGAGGACTGTTGCTAAGAGAAGCCATAGAGTTCAAAATGTGGTCTGAATTTCCTGGAGCAAGGAGGCACCTGGGGCCTAGGTCTTCTCAGAAAGAGCTGTGAGAATGGTATGGCCATGGCCCGTGTCTGTGGCATGAAGTTAGTGACTGATGGGTTTGTACGGTTTATTCCCAGGGAGCTGAAGAACCTAAACTAAAATGGGAGCACATCACAACCCTCATCGCCAGCCTCAGAGAGTTTGTGAGGTCCACTGACCGAAAAATCATAGCCACTACGCTGTCGAAGCTGAAGTTAGAGCTGGATTTCGACAGCCATGGCATCAGCCAAGTACAGGTGGTCCTCTTTGGCTTCCAAGATGCTGTAAGTGCACTTCCCTATCAATATGTATCTTTTTCAGAATTGTGTTTAATCTCCCCTGCTCCTAAAATAGATACACATAAAACTGAATCACCATGGGAAATAGCAAACCTTACAAACATCTCTGGAGCTGAACTCTCTTCTTGGCGAAATTGTGTAGTGGGTCACTATTTATTTTGGTGACTTTTCACCACATAGCCGGCTTTAGTCATGCGCTTTGTAGTACCAGGCAACAAACGCCATCTGGTGGCCACTGAGATAATTTAACAGGACACAGCATTGAGATAGTCACAGCTAAAAACAAACATTTTTTTCCAGCTAGGTTTTCTCTGTTCCTACATGGAAATATTTTAATACATTTATTTCATAAGCGTGCACTGTGTCATAACCTGAAATATAATTCAGAGTACACATCATGACTGAGGGGAAATTTTTCTTCATGATCTAATGGGAGATTGCAGAGAATTTGCTTTAAAACTGAGTTACTAAGCAACACAAACTAGAAGCCAGTCTTCTGAAAATCTGATTAAAACTCCTGTTTTATTCTTGGAGAAGACACCTCTGCATACATGCCAAAGCTGCTTCCTCCCAGAAGCCCTTAGACAAAAATAAGAATGTTACAATGCTCAATAGAAAATGGACTCATACTTTGCTCATGTAACTGTAGCCCCTCTGTACAGTATCTTTACAATAAAAATATATTAAAAATAAAAATGTTGAACTAGACACTGGCAGGTCACACCTATAGTAACTACTCAGGGGGATGAGATCTGAGGATTTCAATTTAAAGCCAGCCAATCTGGAAAGTCTATGCAACTTCAACCACCAGAAAATCAGAAGTGGAGCTGTGACTCAAAGTGGTAGAGCGCTAGCACAAAAGTTCAGGGACAGCGCCCAGGCCCTGAGTTCTTGATGGTGTTGTGATATGCATATTAAATCATGTTGTAGGACTATTTAAATTTCAAAACATTTTCCCTAATGGACCTATGTACAAGGTGCCTTGAATATTGCATTTGAAACATGAAATATCCCCGATTTAAAACCGATTTATAATCCTTCAACAGCCTCTAATATTCTCTGAGACACTGAGTAAGCCACTTGGTCCTTGTATGATATGGTGAGCATGGACAAGAGTCCTGATAGAGCAAATGCAACTGGCAGGGTTGATTGCTAATATTAAAGGCTAAAGGGCTGCTTACCCTAACAACCAGGGAAACCCAGCCATCTGCAAATAGAGGGAAGCAATTTAGCTAATTTTCACTTGCCCACACATTTGGCCTTCATCCTAGAAGCTGAAAAGCAAATTGGCTATAGAATTCAGAGTAAGAGTTAGTTATAATTTTGGGCCTCTGGCCCAGGACACACATACACATACACACACACACACACACAAACACACACACTCACCACACACTCTCTTTCTCTCTCTCTCTCTCTCTCTCTCTCTCTCTCACCACACACACACCGTATGCACACACACCATTCACCTGTGCTGTAGCATACTTTCTGTTCAAAATGAACTCAAACCATGGCCATAGTTAACATAGGTAAAATGAAGGAAGTATGAAGAGTGAGGCATGGTTCAAAGGGTTCCACTTCTATCTAGTGTATGTGGGTTTTTAGAGAAATGTTTTAGGTTACTAAATATAAAAAGAACAAATTCTGATTCAGGAAAAAGGGTATCAAGCTCTTGTAAGACAGAGTTCTAATGGATTGTGATCATAGTAGCACTGTAATGTAAATGCATTTACGGTCACTGATGATTGACAGCTTAAGTTTTATATTACAGGTATTCTGAAAAACAAAGAGCAGAAAAGTCAGGAGCATATCTATTTTGGTGCCTACTTAAATAGATGAAATAGTGCTAGCCATTGTTCTGACAAGTATGTTGCATGTGCACTGGCCTTCTGGGTATTCAAACTGAGTATCCTCTTATTTACAATGGCATAGTGGAAAGGAAACAGGCCAAGATTATGGCAAAACTGAGGTCACACATTCATGCTCATCTCTCAGCCCATTCACTTGCTTTTTCCAAATCACCAGAGTATGCTGAAATGCTCAACTGTGTTACTTGGCAGTCATAACATTTATAGGCAGAGGTTATTTTATGTAAGGCCTGGGGATTCTCTTTCTTCCTTCACCAGCCATTCTGCAGCTGTACTCTTGAGTCCCAAGAAGATTAAATGTCACTTCCTTTTCCAGGTCAATAAAGTGCTTCGGAATCATAACATCAAGCCACACTGGATGTTCGCCTTGGACAGCATCATCCGAAAGGCTGTGCAGACAGCTATTACCATTCTGGTTCCAGGTGATAAATGTTTTATTACTCTGATCATTGTTCCTCCATCATTTCACTTCTGATGTCTCCTTAGGCTTTTTTTTTTAAATCAAATGAATACTTAACTAGAGTCAGAACACTTATAAATTTCTTTTCATCATGGAGTTACCAGATTTTAAAGACCATCTCCTTAGATTTTTAAGACCATACTTGTCTTTTATTGATTCTTTTATTATCTGTAAATAGTTATACAAAGGGGTTTCAATTCAATTCGGGGTGTCAGTTTATGAGTATAATGCATCTTGAGTAATGTCACCCCCTCCTCATTCTCTCTCATCTGCCCCAACACCACCCTTCCTCTCAACATTCTAGGTTCCACGTTCGTATATGTACATTGAATATTATGACTATTTACCCACCATTCCTCTCTCCATTCATCTGCCTCCCTCCCCCCTTATGCCCCACAGCCGTCCAACACATTTCAGCTTTCTGGTATGCATTTTGTTAAATTCTAAGGAATTGCACCATTGGAAGCCATCCATGCAGCTACACCATACATTAGTCAATTTGTTCATGCATATGTTCCCATGGCCCTGTGTGTTTTCATGTAATTTAGATTAATTTCCCTGTGGTTGCCTTTAAAAAAAAAAGTCATTTCAAAGCCACCAAATAACATTTATCTAGTACATACAATCTGAGCCTCAGTTCACCAAGAAAATGTTGACTGCGAGGAAGATTTCCTTTTTTTCTTGGACACGAGGAAAGCCAAAAACTACTAAATGACTCCAAATAAACATACTCCTGTTCCATCTTGTACTAGTGCTTCCCAAGCCTTCAGGGCATTGAATGATGGGAAGAGTCCCTTAAAATTACAGCACTCAAAAAAGCAAAGAAATTACGAGAGCAGACAAAATTAAAAAAATTACAGCATTGAGCTGGGTGTTGGTGGCTCATACCTGTAAATCTAGCTACTCAGGAGCCTGAGATTTGAGGATCATGGTTCAAAGCCAGTCTAAGCAGGAAAGTCTGTGGGACTCTTATCTCCAATTAACCACCAAAAAGCCAGCAGTAGAAGTAAAGATGTGGCTCAAGTGGTAGAGCACCAGCCTTGAGCACAAAAGCTCAGGGATAGCATCTAGGCCCTTAGTTCAAACCCTAGAACCAGTGTGTGTGTGTGTGTGTGTGTGTGTGTGTGTGTGTGTGTGTGTGTGTGTGTGTGTGTGTGTGTGTGTGTGTGTGTGTGTGTGTGTGTGTGTGTGTGTGTGTGTGTGTGTGTGTGCGCGCGCACGCAGGTTTTAAGCCCATTTTCAACCAAATTCTGGAGTGAAGGCCAAGCATTAAACAGAAAATCTAAAATGGGATTTAAAAACAAAAAGTTTTTTACTCTTTTAGAGCAGTTTTGGATTCACCTCAAAATTGAGAGGGATGTATAGAATTCCCCATATTGTCTCTGCCCTGTATGTACACAGTCTCTCCCAGTATCAATACCTGCCCCCCACCAGAGTGGTGCACTTGCTACAATGGACAGACACAGGTTAACACATTATCACTGGGGTTCCTCCATGTAGATGCTATTATATATTCTGTTCTTCTGGACAATGTAAGGACATATATCAGTCATCACAGTATCATGCAGAATATGCTTGCAGCCCTAAGAATCCTATGTTCCACCTATAGCCATTTGATTTTAGTGCAACTCCCTGGTCATTTTGGCACACAGCCTGATTTGGAAATCTTTGGTCTAGACAGCCTTGGCTGTATTGGCAGTGAGACACAAAAGGGCTAGTGTTGCTGAAACAAGGTTGATGGGGAGAGGAATGTGCTCATACTCCAAGGCAAACCTCCTGAGTGTTTTGACGGTCAACCCAGTAATAACAAGTTTAAGCAAGCTGGATGCCAGTGGCCCATGCATATAATCCTAGCTACTCAGGAGGCTGAGCTATAAGGATCATAGCTCAAAGCCAGCCTGGCAGACAAATCTGAGACTCTTATCTCCAGTAACCAGCAAAAGCTGGACATGGAGGCAAGACTTGAGTGGTAGAGCACCATCCATGAGTGAATAAATGTGAGTGAGAGTGTGAGACTGGATTCAATCTCCAGTATCTTCACACACATAAAAAAAAAAAGGTTAAACAGAGCTCTTCCACTCTATGTATATCTAGTGGGATGGTGGTTAGATATTGCCAAATACATTGAGTTTTAGATAATAGTTAAACACCATCCTCCAATAAATATATACAGGACTCCTGTAGAAGTGGGTGATCATGAGTCTAGGGCAGGAAAAATAGATCAAATGAGCCTGAGATATCTTATGGTTCCCAATTGTAAGGGAATGTTTAGAAAGAAGAGCTTATTGAAAAGACCCTAGAGCCACCTCGAAGGATTTCCTAATCTCTCAGCTTGGAATAACTTGAGCAATGAAGTGAAATGAAATAAAAATAGTATTAGGCTCTATCAGTCAGCTTATGATCACTTGTAACAAATACCTGAGGTAGCTAACTAATAAAGATAAAACAGTCTACTTGGCTCATACAGTTTCAGAGCTTTCAGTTCATGATTGGTTGACAGCATTGCTTTGGGCCTGTATTGAGGCAGAGCATCGTGGTGGGCCCGCATAGCACCACAAATTGCTCACCTCATAGTGGAAGCAAAGGAAAGGAAACTGATGGCTCTCACATCCCCTTTTGAGGGCAGCCCCTCATAACCTATGGACTTCTCACTTAGGCCCACCTCTTAAAGATTCCACCACCTCCTACAGTGCCACACTAGGACTCTAGGGACCATGTGGACCTTTGAGGACACTTAGGACTCAAACTGTAGCAAGCTCAAAGAACAAAATAATATCCATGAGCCCAGATTGATATAATGTTTTGAGCAAAAAAGCTCAGGGACAACTCTCAGGTCCTGAGTTCAAGCCCCAGAATTGGCAAAAGAAAAGAAAGAAAAGAAAAGAAGAGGAGAGGAGAGGAGAAAAAAGATAGAAAGAAAGAAAGAGAAGGAAAGAAAGGGAAGGAAGGAAAGAAAAAGGAAGAAAGAAAGGAAGGAAAGAAAGAGACTCAGACATTAGTAGGAAGACATGACATTCAAACACTGATCTATAAACTTATCAATAGTTATCTGTTGATTTTCTGCTTTTGATTATTGTTTCACAGGCATATAAGATACTAAGGTGGTGACAAATTGCTGAAGAGTACAGAGAACTCTGTACTGTTTTGTAACTTTTCTGTGATTCTAAAGTTACTTCAAAATAGTAAGTTTTGAAAGCAGTGCTCAGTTTCCCTGCTTCAAAAAAGAACACACAGAACAGAGAATACAGTATGTCTCTTAGGCATTCTTTCATCAGCCTTAAGATTATTGGCAACATTAAGTGTCTATTGTTGCTACTTAAGCACAGAGTGGCTGTGGGTGACTAGACTGAGAAATGCTGAGAGCAGGATGACGGTGCAAAGTTAGCGAGAATCCATAGTATAAATATCCTTCTCGCAATGCTCTTTAAAAGATGCTTGGAGTGCTTGATATTACTGTCAGTCATTTGACTGAATCAAGCATGTGCCAGTGTTCACATTCATGTGAAATGAGCTTTATTTACCTCTCCATGAGGAAATTGATGCAGGTCTTATATGCTTCGCTCACAGCCCTCTGATCTTATGTGGCATCAGAAATACCCATGTTAAAGAAACTTGGTCTGTTTATTTCATTTGGGGAATTAACCATTTAGAGTAGAGAGGTATGATATTGTTTCACACCATCAAACTATATTAGAAATGTGTGCCCACTCCTCTTTCCCACATGGGCTTAAATGCCATCCATGCATTGCAGGACACGAGTCTCAGATTTTTCTCCTGACATGTGGCTCTCTCCTGACACTTCATGCTGCTTAACATTCTTCCTACAAGGCTTTGGTCCACCATGCAGTCTTCTTTCAAGCACCTCTCTTTTTCCCCCTAGACCAAATCCCTTCCCTCCTCCAGAGCCCACATTAGGCCCTTGTTTCCCTGAATCTGTCAGTGAATAAGCCAACTCCATTCAGTCATGCAAATAAATGTGTTTACTTACCTGTCAGCACTCTTAGAACATGCATTTATTAGTCAAGGGTCTGCAAAGAGGCACCAATAGGCTATGGAGAGATAGATAAGAGATTTCTTATAAGAATTGGCTGGAGTGGTTATGGATGCCAAGTAAGCCCCAACATTTGCTGCCGGTATACTGTAGAGCTGGGAAAGCAATGTGTGATTCACTCTAATCTGAAGGAAGTTGATGTTGAACGTCTCAGTCCAAGACTGAAAGTCTGAGAAACTGGAGCAAGAGATGAGACATGCTCCCAAGGTGGAAAGAGAGAAGGAGGATTCTTTCTTGTCTACCTTTTCTGTGCTGTTCAGGCCTGGGTGATGTCACCCCCATTGGTGAGAGTGGACCTTCTCTATTCAGGCCACTGAAAGGTTAATCTCTTTGGGAAACACCTTCATAGACACACCCAGGAATACTGTTTCCTCAGCTATGTGGCATCCCTTAGCTGAGCCAAGTTGGCATGTAAAAAATTAATGATCACAATGCTTGATGAATGCAACGAGGTCTACAACTGAGATGCTTTTCAGCTGTATTCTATTTTACTTGTAATTTCATGCTGTCTTTGGGCATCTGTCTTGGGCCTTTCTGTGGATCTCTCAACCTCCTTTAGATCGTTACCAATATCATTGGTGTATTTTCCAGTGTTTAATCTAATGCTCTGTGCTCAAAGAAATAACAAAACATTGTATTAGCTTGCAGTTTTCAAAGAATGGAAAGCATTTTTGTCATGCTTACACATATAAATGAGAGTTGAAAGGATATCAAATTAAGGGATCTTTAAACATAATATAAAAAATTGCCTTCCATAAAGTAGGTATATTTTTATTATTATTGTAAAGGTAACAGGAGGGTTACAGTTACATAAATCAGATGAGTACATTTCTTTTAACAGTATCACCTCTTCTAATTTTTTTCTCCTAGTTTTATTTTAGAAAAATTTGTAAATCCTAATCTTTTCTACCATTTGATCTAGTGTTATAGTATCTTAAGTTGCCCGTAAAGTAAAATATTATTTTTATATTATTCTATTTTATTCTATATTATTCTATTATTCTCTTCAAAACCCAAATAATCCTGGCAAGATCATTCTTTCATTTTCCTATGTTGTTACTGTTGTTGTTTTGCAATCCTAATGCATTTAGCTCCTGTCTTAGAATTTACAAAGTTAATATGTCTGATTTTGTGTCAGTCATACTGTAGATAAATTAGGAAATTGAGGAAATGGGATTTGGGAAAGAGTTAGAACAGCAAGGAAGTTTTGTAAGCCATAAGATACACAGAGAGGAGGTGGAGAAACTAGAAATCATGTGACCTGTTAGTGCAACCACTATGGAAAACAGTATGGTAGAATCCTTTAAAAGTTGAAAATAAGCCAGGCACTGGTGGCTCACACTTATAATGCTAGCTACTCAGGAGGCTGAGATCTGAGGGTTGCAGTTCGAAGCCAGCCAGGGCAGAAGAGTCCCCATGAGACTCTTTTTTAAAAAATATTTATTTTTATTTTTTGTTGGTTGTGGGGCCTGAACTCTGGGCTTGGGCACTGTCCTTCAGCTCTTCAGCTCAAGGCTAGCGCTCTACCACTTGAGCCACAGCACCACTTCTGCTTTTTCTGCTTATGTGATGTTAAGGAATCGAACTCAAGGCCTCATGCATGCAAGGTAAGCACTTTACCACTGAGCCACCTTCACAGTCCCGAGACTCTTATCTCTTAATTAACCACTCAAACACTGGAAGTGGAGCTATGGCTCAAAGTGGAGTGCTAACCTTGAGCAAAAAGAGCGCAGGGATGGTGTCCAGGCTCTGAGTTCAAGCCCATGACTGCAAAAGAAAAAGAAAAAAGAAAAAAATAGAATTACCATGTGATCCAGAAATTCCTCTTCTGGGAATATATCCAAAAGAATGAAAAACATGATCTCAAAGAGGTATCTGCCCACCATGTTCATAGCAACTGTATTCCCAATAGCTAAGAGATAGAGGCAATCCAAATGTCTGTCAACAGATGAACAGTTAAACAAAAGGTAGTACATAAATGTAATGGAATATTATTGGGACTTAAACAGAAGGAAATTCTGACATATACTACAACATGGACAAATGCTGAGGACATTATTTGAACTAATATAAGCTAGTCATAGGATCAATATTATATTTTTCACTTGTAGAGTAGTCAAACCCAGAGACACAGAAAGTAGAGTGGTGGTTTCCACAGGCTGTGAGGAGTGGAAAATAGGGAGGTATTGTTTCTTTTGAACTGAGTTTCAGTTTGCAAAAATGCAAAGATTTCTGAAGATAGGTTGCATAGCAATGTGAATATAATGAACACTACTGAATTGTCCACTTAGACATGAATAAAGTAGTATATTTTGTGTCATGAACTTTTCTAACCACAATAAGAAAATTTAAACTTCGAAAAGGAGATGAAGAAGCCAGTATCAACCTGGCCTTAAAGGATGCTGTGCTTCTTGTTCAGAACAAAAGATGTCGATTTTGAAGTACCTGTCCAAAGGGATATCCAGCAGATTCAGGTTGTAACCAGATTGGGGCCAGAGGGGTAGAGGGCTGGCACACACTAGAAGTACTTGACCTTCACAGAGTTGAATGAGCTCACCCATGGAGAACAAGTAAAAATAAAAAAGCTTCCAGCTTCTAGGGGATTGTAGGAGATAAAAACTCTGAGAAGGAGAAGCAGGAGCCCAAAGGGAAAGCTGTTCACACAATGATCGCTTTGAGGGCTTGGAAACAGGCCTTTGGTGACCTTGATAAATTGGCCCTATCAAATCATTCTGACTGAATTTCTCCATCTTATACATTCTGTACATTCACTAGCAGAACAATTTTGAGTGAGTAGCAGAAACCCAGCCTTCATGTGGAAGAGCAGTTTGGGTAGCAAGAAGGACTGACTCTAACCTCTAGATCCTGGAAACAATCGTTGTGTTTTGTTAACACTGACACTATGCCCAACAGAACTGAGGCCACATTTTAGCCTGGCATCTGAGAGTGACACCGCTGATCCGGAAGACTTGGATGTAGAAGATGACCATGAGGAGCCACCTGCCAATCAAACGGTCCGAAGACCTCAGGCCATCATTGAGGATGCTGTGGCCACCTCGGGAGTGAGCACGCTCAGCTCCACTGTATCCCACGATTCCCAGAGTGCTCACCGATCACTCAATGTGCAGCTCGGAAGGATGAAAATTGAAACAAATAGGTAGGTTCAAAGCTGACATCATTTTCTTTTTTCTTTTCTTTTCTTTGTACCAATACTGGAGCGTGAACTCAGTGCTTCATGTTCTTGCTTATGTTTTTTGTGTGTCTTGTTTCTTTGCGCAAGACTAGTGCTCTATCCCTTGAGCCACACCTTCACTTCTGGCTTTTTTTGCGGGTAATTGAAGAGTCTCATATAATTTTCTGCTGTGGCTAGCATCAACCCATGATCCTCAGTCCTCAGCCTCCCAAGTAACAGCAGCTTCTTTTTTCTTACTTCTGTAGAAATGTGTTTGGGGTCTACTTTATATGTCTTATCTACAGAACATGCATATTTTAATGTGTTTGCAAAAATTCCTTATCTTGGACATGTATACCTAATTTAGTGGCTTTCTCATTAGCAAGAGCCCTTGTTTTGTCTTTTTGCCACTCTCTGCTTTTACTAATTCAAGGCTACTTTGGACCATTTCTTTGCTGGCTTATCATTAGGTACACTGAGATCCGCAGAATAACTGTGTTGTAACCTCCTAAACTGTCGTGGAAACACAGACTCAGAGCAGCCTGTTCCTTTGATAGATAGCTAAGAAACAGAACAGAAAGCCTGTGTTCTTGAAAGCCTGTGATTTAAAATGTCAGATCCTTTCTGGAGAGGAGCATCTTAATACTCACAAGGAGAAAGCTAAGCCTGTATTCTAGAGGCTTGAGAAAATGAGAATGGACCACATGGATGACTCTTCTATTTTTAATCTGCTATAAACTCCAGAGGATAATTTGTCTCTGAGCATTGGTTAGCATAGGAACCCATGACCAGGTTACTAAGTGAGCAGTAAATGCTTCCTGTTCTCCACAAACGTTGGCACAGTTCAAGGTCTGAGTCTTTATGATTTATAGCTTCCTGAGCTGGCTACCGTTGACATGTGGGAAACGGACTTTATGGCTCTGCACTTGTGGTAAAAACATTTTTTCTAGTGACTCCATAAAACTGTTCAAATAGGTGAAGATTCTAGTTGTTTATCAGAGTGTAAGCTCTTTGAAGACAGCTTGACTATGAAACTTAGTACAAAGCTCCTCTTTTATTCCTTCTGTTTAAATGTATCAATTTAGGTTGCATGATTTTTTTAAGTGCACACGTCCTTACATTGTATGACTTGCATAGAGCAAACTCTTACAATAAAGAGAAAACTGGCTCTCTGGCTTCCATATCCTTGTCTTATCCTCCAATGGCCAGCTCTTTACCTATCATCTCTACTACTTAATGGAAAAGAATCTAGATCTTTTCTGAATCTTTAACTCTTAAAGCTTCTCATATTTTAACACCCCATCCCCTGTGGTAGGTACTAGCTCATCACTTCAGTTTTTATTCTTGCCTTATCCTTACTGGACCCCTGCTCTGGTCACTGAAGGAGGAAATTTCCCTCCGTAACTTATTATTTTGATCCAGCACTCCCCACCCATGGCTTCTGGTCAGAACTGACAGACAGGAAAGCTAGTTTGTTTACTAAAGAGCTGGTCTGTCTGCTCTGCTGGCCCTGAAACCCTCTGTCTGCACCTCATGGCTATGTCAACAGAACCTGAATACTCTAAATACAGCCTCCTGTGTGTGTTTCTCTCCCTTCTCTCCTTTGCTCATTGGCTTCACCTTGTGCTTGCACCTGTTGCTGCTTCTGTCCCCCAGGTTTCTGGTATCATTGACTTGCAAGATTGCTGTCTCCAACTCCTTTCTTCTTGTCTCATCGTTTATCTTCGGAGGCTCTCTTGGGGCCTGCTGAGATTTTGCTCTCATGAAAATCTTCCCATCTTGGTTGAAAAGACTAAGATTTTTCTTTATCACATTTCTTACATTATATGGCTTTATTACTTTATTACAGCTATATTTGTGTGTGTTTACATGCTTACAATTAGATCTATAAAAGCTACAGGATTATTAGCCTTCTTTGTCTTTTTTGCAGTAGCAACTATCACAGCTCCTCCGACACATCCAGAAAAGTGAGATGAGTATAATATAACTGGTTTAGTACAAGCACTGAACAGCTGAATTTAGACCAGCCTTATCTATATTGGTCCTTGAGCTTTTCTGTTGAATACCATTTGCAATATAAAATTATATGCAGCATTCCTGGGTTGTAATTCAAGTGCTAGAGTACTTACCTAGCATGTATCAGGCACTGGGTTCACTTGTCAGCCATCCTACCACCTCTACACACACAAAGTCTACACTGCAAAATGAATTTGAGAGGAAATGTGTTTAGGAAAGGTTATAGATATCATATTAACAGTCTTAAGCTTAGCCTAACACAACTTACTCTTGTCATCCTAGGTACTCAGCAGGCTAAGATCTAAAGATCAAGGTTCGAAGCCAGCCAGAGTGGGGAAAGTCCATAATAAACTACTCAGAAAAAGCTGAAGTGGTTCTATGGATCAAGTGGTAGAGCACTAGCCGTGAGCACAAAGGGGCTCAGGGACAGCACTCAGGCCCTGAGTTCAAGCCTTCGGACCTGCAAAAAATAAAAAGAGAGAGAGTAAGGCACTAAGTTCAAGCTGCAGTCCTGACACAAACATACACACAAAACTTAAGCTCAGAATGTTGCGAATGATCACTGATAAAGGTAAATAAGGTTTACACAGCTCTTGATGATTAGGTCATCAATAATTCTAAATGGCCGGAAGAAACGAAATGGATTTAGAATATAAGTCTTCCTTCTGTTTAAATATATGCTTGTGTAAAATTCACTTCACACAAGGAGATTTGAGAACATTATTAAAGTATCCATTTAGAAGTATCCATTTGTTATCTAATTTCTAAATCCTGGAATTCCAGAAAAACCCATCAACCTAGCTTTACTCACCTGAGTTAAAACCTTATGGTAGTTTCTTACCATACTTTTCTGGAACAGAGAGGCAGACAATTGCCTTCATTGCTCAGTATTTCCCAAATAACCCATGGTAAAACTAAAACTACTGGACTAAATAAATATACACTTAGGGTGGTCTGAATGGCAAATGAGGAGGCCCATCAATACTCTACCTCTAACGTTAAATTCTGGCTTTTAAAGATAAAAAAAAAAACTTCCTAGCCCAAATAAACATTTTAAATTTTAGGAAATAATTTTGTGTTCTTTGAGAAAATAATAGCAATATGCTATCACTGTTTTCTGCATGTATATTAACCAGGTAGAACATATATATATATGCTAAACAATTCAAACAGAGCTTTCTATCCATTGATAGATTACTGTTATTGTTGGAGGAATCGCCCTCCCACTCTCTACTTCTCCCTCTTGCTTTCAGTTCCTGATGCTTAATCCACTTAATTGTGTGATGAGTTTACTCTGTAGGTGTTGTTACTTACCTGTCTTCTGCAACCCACTGTCTCTGTCTGCCTCTCATTGTTTTTTACCTCAGCCACCCACTCTACTATGATTCCTCTTCTTTCCTGAGAGCCTCAGCTTTATGGGAATGAGGTAGAGCTTGAAGCGCAGGACCACAGCTGGATGAGGCCTGGAAGGACTGATGCTCTAGCAGGGCACAAAGTAGACGCTACTAAAGGCCAGGCTAGTGCTAGGAACTTTACCTCATTTAATGCTCACAGCCGCTCTTTTGGACATTTTCCTTTTGCAATTCCAGAGGCTTGGTTAAGTTGTCTAAGGCTAAGATGGGAAATGCCTGGCAGAGCCAGGACACAGGCCCAGGCCTATCTCATTTGCATCATACCATCTTCAAAGTCTGTCATCCAAAGCCGAAACCGACTTTTGGATGGAACGTAGTCTGGAGTTAAGTCTACCAATAGCCAGGAGATGAAACAAAATCAGCTTTTAAGAACTTTAGGGAGCCGGGCACCTGTAATCCTAGCTACTCAGGAGGCTGAGATCTGAGGATTGCGGTTCAAAGCCAGCCTGGACAGCAAACTCCATGAGACTCTTATCTCCAATAAACTACTAGAAAACTGGAAGTGGCACTGTGGCTTAAGTGGTAGAGCACTCACCTTGAGCTGAAGAGCTGAGGGACAGCACCCAGGCCCAGAGTTCAAGCTCCAGGACCAACAACAACAACAAAAAAGAGAACTTTAGGGGATGCAATTATTAATCTTAGTGAGCTGACTAATCATTATGTGTTTTAAATATTAACATTCTAGGGCTGGGAAGGTGGCTCAGTGGGAGAGTGCTTGTCTTGCATGCCTGAGGCCCTGAGTTCAATTCCTCAGCACCACATAAGCAAAAAGAAAAAAGCTGAAAGTGGCGCTGTGGCTCAAGTGGTAGAGCACTAGCCTTGAGCTGAAGAGCTGAGGGACAGCGCCCAGGCCCAGAGTTCAGGCCCCATGACCAGACCCCCCACCTCAAAAAAAATATTAATGTTCTGAATACAACTTACTCAAGGGATTTTGTTCTTAAAAACATAGAGCATCTCTTTTCTTCATTTGGAGGGCTTTCTCCAAGAGATAGTGTCAGACATAGTAAATAGATGTGTTCTTAGCCCAAGGCAAATCTTCCAGGGGTAAGAGCTATGATATGATATCATAGTTTCTTCTTGCTTCTTTGGTATCTGATGGCAATTCAGAATGGAATGTACAGTAAACACAGTAACACTCACTTCATTACTCCTACCCCTGTCCCAGAAATGGGAAGAACAATGTTAATCACAGTCACAGTTGCAGCAATAGCCATTAACATTTGGTGAAGACTTGTCACCTGCCAGGTGGTCTTCTAGGGACCCATTCCTCAAAGCTGTCATAGCGTCACAAGAGTGGCTACCTTTTTGCGTGGAGTTGATTATTATCTATGTTTGCCATTTTTTCTGATGAGGGGCCGTGCATGTAAAATACTCATCTGTTAATACCGCCTATTTGTCATTTTGACATTTATGAACAATGAAAAAGCAAACAGTAGACAAGTATCTCTGAAGATTTGGGGAGGGCATGTGAAAGGGAGATTTTGAATTCGTGCCTGGAAGCACAATCTGACAGATCTTGCTCCTGGATGGAATTAGAGCAAGTCCAGAGCATCACTGTCTCCTGGGGGCTCACTAGGCACCATCTCCTACCTCACTCCAGAGCTCTGAATTTCTTTAAGAATCCACGGTGTCCATGCTTATAGCTTGGGAAGCTCATGCTAGATCATTGATGCCTTCAGCTTTATTATCTCATCAACCAATACAATTTTCTTCTGCAGATTACTGGAAGAATTAGTTCGGAAAGAGAAAGAATTACAAGCACTCCTTCATCAAGCTATTGAAGAAAAAAACCAAGAAATTAGACACTTGAAACTTAAATCTCAACCAATAGGTAAGTAGGTGGGAATTTCAAAATAAATTTGGTTGACCAAGGTTGCCATGGGAAGCTGAGAAGCAGCAACAGGCAGTTTTATGTTATGGCGTTTAACTAGCATCTCTCCTTTGTGCCACAATGAGAAGCACAAACTATCATTTCTTCTAAGCACAGTGGAAAGTATGGTTCAGCTGGGCACAGGGGCTCAAGCCTGAAATCCTAACTGGGAGGCAAAGAGCAGAGGATTCTGGTTCAAGGCTTTCCCTGGCTTAAAAGTTTGAGACTGAACTCAACCAACAGTTGGGAGCAGTGGCCCTCACCTGTCATCCCAGAGACAAGGGAACCACAGAGAGGTAGATTACAGTCCCACCTGAGGAAAAATTGTGACTTATCTTGAAAATAAACAGTATGTTAGGGATGGCAGAGTGCTCAAATGGTAGAGTACCTGCTTACCAAGCACAAAATCCTGAGTTCAAACCTCTTTACTGCCAAAAGGAAAAAAAACAATGTATGACTCATAAGATCACCTTCCCTGAGGCTATATATTGTAGAGATAAAGAAAGCTTTCCACTGATGTAGTGATTTGTTAAAGATTGTGTATTAGCATATAATAGTTGTACAAAGGGTATTTTGTTGTGACTTTCCTAGAAATGCATACAGTGTACCCTGATCAAACTCATCCCTTCAGTTCTTTCCCCTATTTCCTTCCCTCTTCTTAAAACAATTCCAGCTTGGTACATGTGGCTCATGCCTGTAATCCTAGCTACTCAGAAGGCTGAGATCGGCGGATCACAGTTCAAAGCCAGCACAGGCAGAAAAGTTTCTGTGAGCCTCTTACCGCCAATTAAACACTCAAAAACTGAAAGTAGCACTGTGGCTCAACTGGTAGAGCAGCAGTCTTGAGCACAAAGAGGTTCAAGGACAACACCCAAGCCCTGAGTTCAGGCCCCACAACTGACAAATAAATAATAATTTCAACGGGTTTCGTTGTTCTAGTTTTGTACATGCATATAGAGTACATAGTCACCCCCTAGTCACCTCCCACTGATATGATCAGTGTTTATTTCTCTTCAGAGTTGTCAGTGAGACAATACTATTTTTGTTATTTTGCATTTGTATTCAGTGAAATACAGCTTTTTTCTTTATGTGTTGAAGAGGCTTAAATAGCATAAAGATACAGTAATAAGAAGTGATAGGTTCAAACTCTGAAGAAAAATATATAAGAAATTGGAGGTACAAATTAATGTTTTATGTTTTATTATCTCTTAGTAGTTGTACAAAGGGGGTTTCGATTCAACATAACATTTATGAGTACCATGCTTCTTGATCAGTGCCACCCTTTCATCTTTTCCCCCATCTCTCCCAACTAAAAAGTACTCTTTAGAGGATTTTAATTAGCCCATTTAGAAGAAAATATAATTCATGGTTATTTGTTCAGATGATGGTTCTTCTATGTTAATATACATAGTGATAAAAGAGATTATAACGTTACAGTTCTCTGATAATTGTGTAGATCATCTTTGTTGCATGAAATGAATAGTACTGATAAACTTTGATATAGAGTTTATTCTAAGAAACTATAGAATTTATATGAAACCATAAATTTGGAGTACTGTTACATTAGTGCTTCTGACTCCCAATTTACTACCAGATTAACTAGTCTGAGTTTAGTTTATAAAATTATCGTTAGTTCTACTAATCTCCATTGTTTCTATTAACTATTCTCCGACAGTGCAAAATCAAATTGTGCATAAATCTCTGTGGGCTGTGAGAATCTCTGATAGCCTCTCTCAGATGAAGCAAAGAATACCTATCTCTCCCTAATTTGATTCTAGATATTCCTGGATTACCTGCATGTCACCTAAATTCTCCTGGCACCACCACTGAAGATTCTGAACTTACTGCTTGGCTCAGAGAAAATGGAGCTGATGAAGATACTATTAGTCGGGTAAAGAAAACTGTGATTCTGTGTTCTTCGGCTTTCCTTCATAGTATCACGTGCCTTTTCTAAGCCAAACACCCTTCAAGCACAGAGAGCATATGGGTGAACAGTCAGAGGCAGCCTGCCCTGGCTATGGCTTTGTAGGGCAAGCAGATGATAATTCAGATAGTTCCACAGATTAAAAAATGTGGGGCTGAGTGTGATGACGCACACTTGTAATCCCAGCTATTGTGAAGGTGGAGGTACAGGGATCACAGTTCAAGGCCAGCCTGGGCAAAAGTGTAAGACCTTACCTGAGGAAAACAAGGAAAAAGAAAAGGAAAAGAAAAACATAAAAAAGCGAAGGGCTTGGGAGGATGGTTTAATTCATAGAGCCCGTGTGTAGCAAACACAAGGCCTCAAATTCAATCCCAATACCATGAAACAGATATCAGTATACATTGGAAAATTCTATGCAGAAAAGGGTTTGGGAGTTCTTGGGGAGAGGGAGCAGGTTGGGAAGTCTTGCAGGAAGAGGGTGGCTGAGTCTAAGAGAATGTAAAGGAATAAAGGAGGGCAGATGTATGTATCGGGTTTTGCTGGAAGGAGGAGTAAGGAAGGTGCAGAATATGAAAGGCAAGTAAGCAGCGAAAAGCATTGTTGTCCACACCCTTTAAGGATGGTAATGTTTTTGAACTGAAAATAAGGCTAGCCTCTAACTCAGAATCCTCCTGCCTCAGTATCTTATATGCTGGGATTACAGGAATGACCCACCATACCTGGCCTAACAAACAGCCTCGTTTGTGGACAAGCTCTGAGGTAGAATGATATTCACTTCAGAATGACACAAAACCACAGAAAATTATCTAGAATGGCATAAGACCATTATAAATCATGTCAAAGTAATCTACACTCTGAGTGCTTATTGTATTTCAGTCTATGTGCCTTGTAAACAGCTTTGCTTAATTGCATCTTACTTACATCTTTGCTAAATTACATCTTCAGCTACTTGCTCCATCTGTGCTGGCTATATAATTTTTCTAAATGATTTTACCACTTTATCCTTAGAGCCCTCATTTGTCAAAGGGGCATAAAAATGCACCCACTGCAAAGGTTGTGGAGGAGGATCATCTGTACTAATTATGTGAATGGAAATGGGAGGTAGTAAACACTGGAAAGATATTATTGGAAGAGGCAGAGTCCATCTTGCCTGTGAAACCTTCAAACATATGAAATACCAAATATCTTTCTTAGAAAGCAAACTACAAGGTAGTAGTAAATCTTATCTTCAGTATATACAATAGCACATATATGTCCAGCTTAGAAAATCTTAAGGCTATGGCTCAATTTAAATAGTTCAAGACAACTAGGCAACAATATGTATCAACCGTGACCATAGACTATATTGAAGCCAAAAAGTAATTTTTTATTAAAAAAAAACTAAAAAGTTCTCTTGGTCACGAGTGTGGCTCACGCCTGTAATTCTAGCTACTCAGGAGGCTGAGATATGAGGATCACAATGTAAAGCCAGGCCTAGAAAAGAAAGTCTGTGAAACTCTTTATCTCCAATTAACCACCAAAAGGTTGGAAGCAAGGCTGTGGCTAAAGAGGTAGAGCACAAGCCTTGAGCAAAAATGCTCAATGACAATACCCAGGTCTTGAGTTCAAGCCCCAGGACTGGCACCAAAACAAACAAAAAACAAATTAAAAGCTTTTCATATTCAGGACTCTGATATTGCAGTGAATAATAGACAAGTCTCTTTTATTAGCTGTGAAAAAACAATAACTTTCCAGAGACATTTTTTTGTCCACTTGGGGAAAAATAAAAGCTTTCAAGAACCAAATTATGAGCAGCAGATATAATTACTAGTGAGTTGGAACTGTTCATTAGAAGCCTCTTCAGCAGTTCTAAGTCATGTGTAATCTTTATGCATTGAGAAGTCCCATGGGTTCATTTTAATTATTTTGTTAAGTCAAATAATAGGGAAGTTTTCCTCAAACAATTCCAGTAGAGTATGTATTAGTGGATTTCCTTTTAGATTCGCTTGTATTTATTACCAGTGTCTGAGTTTTGGATGGAGTTTATTACTGAAAACATCTGAACTTCATTTTACTTTCTCTACAGTTTTTGGCCGAGGATTATACACTAGAGGATGTTCTCTACTATGTGACACGTGATGACTTAAAATGCCTGAGACTAAGGTGCCGTTTTTGTCTTAAAGTTGCCCTGATGGGAAGAGTCCTGAGCTGAGTGCTCAGGGCCTGGGCTTCTAATGAGCTCTGCCAGCTCAGGCAGTGCTAGTGCTCTCTGGTTTGTAGCTGTGTGGAATTAGTTGGGCCTGGCTATTTGGGGATACTCTAGCAACTAGTACATTTATACTACTAGGTAAAAATCAACTAAAAGATTTTGCTAACTTAACTACTACATAGACTAAAACCACACAGATAGTATTCTAAAGCTGTTATATGCACATGCTCTAATTTAGTTCACGATTATCTCATGCATCTAGAAATATTGGATGAGGTGTTGAGTCACCCTCCAAAAAACTTGGTATAATCAGATGTGAATTCTTTTTTTTACATTCTTCTCTACAAGGCCAGGTGTCTCCATAATTCACACCCACCTCTCTAAAGACATATTTCAGAAATGAGACAATCTAAAATGTAATTTGGGGGCCTAGAAACTTGTAGGAATGATCAAGGGATGAGGAGAAAATATATACAAAACTGATACATAATGACTGATAGGCCTTTGGGATCTTTTTGTTTTAACCAAAGCAGCTGAAAGCTGAGAAGTCTCTTTTATATGTCAAGGGCAGTGTCTCTAGGGAGAATGAGTTTTCTTCACCTTGTTCTTGTATCTTTATACAGGGGAGGAATGCTGTGTACCTTATGGAAGGCCATCATTTACTTTCGAGACAAACACACTTGACTCTCACTCAATTTAATCTTCGTTGGAGATTCTGAAAGTGAATACAGAACTGGTGTTGGGGTAGGAAGAATCGAAGTGAGAGGAGAAAGAAGCTGCACTTTAAAATCAGTATTTGTTTACACATGTTAAACAACAACAACCAGAGAAACATCCTGAAATTTTCTGCTTCTGCTTCTACAATTCTTAAGAACTTTTTTTTTTTTTGTGGATTGTGGGGCCTGAACTTGGCCTGGGTGCTGTCCCTGAGCTCTTCCGCTCAAAGCTTAGCACTCTACCACTTTGAGCCACAGCTGCACTTCAGGTTTTCTGATGGTTCATTGGAGATCAGAGTCTCACAGACGTTCCTGCCCAGACTGGCTTTGAACCACAATCCTCATATCTCAGCCACCTGAGTAGCCAGGATTACAGGCATGAGCCACCAGCACCTAGCTTCTTAAGGACTCTTCATAAAGACTTTCAAACAATAATCTTAATGAGAATTCTAATGTGGAGGATTATTTTTCAACTTAAACCCTTTTATGGAGATTTTTTTTAAGCCAGCAGCTATTCTATTTCAGCCAGAAGTTTATCTCACAGGAAATGGATGGAACATTTCATGTGATTGGGTAGACCACTGGAGCGAAACCAAAATGTGACCACACCTTAGGATTAGATGTGTTTGTAAGAACTCGAGTAGAAGTGTATAATTCAATCACTGTATAAAGTTTGATTTTTTTTAAAAGCGGGCAGAACCTGAGAGCAATGTACTATCTGTACTATCTGTACTAATTGTAATAGTGACTAGATTTTGTAACCTAAGTTTCTGGCCTTCAGTGCATTTGTTTGAGTCATTTGTGTACTACTGACCTGCACCAGTTGCATCTGCCTGGATCATAAAAATGTTAGCTTGTTCTAAAGCTATCCATTGTACTATATTTACTCTATAATAAAGGAAACAACAAAATAATAATAAAAAGATGTCAATGTACCATTTTCATAAATTTCAAAGAATTTTTATTTTGTCCTGATGATCAACATAAATGATGGTTAAAATTTCTACTCATTTCTTCAGAAGGATAACTGATGTCCAAATTGTTTCTCTGGAGTATCAGAGTGGTTAAAAAACAAAGCATGGGAAAAAAATGAGGATAAAGGAAAGTTGGTGTGCTTTTCTCAAGGCTCCAACTTATCTTGGACTATTATGTAGCTTAAGAAGTCCACAGAGAACATCTTGATAGAGAGAACTGTATTTTCTTTCTGCCTCTTTCATGTGGTTCTCATATTTGGGGGATATTCTTTGATTTTTGAGCTGAGGGTTATATTTTTATGAGTCTGCCCATGTTAATGGGTTGACATCAGAAGTTCTAGATGGATGGATGAAATAAACACATTTACCTTCAGAGGACAGACATAACTTACAACTGCTTGTGTATCATGACTTGATTCAGACAAAACCATCTTTGATAAAAGAGGAGTCAGCTTTGTTTCTTTGTGAAAAATCAAGGAACAATATAATTTGTATTGCATTTGGAGTATCCCATATAGTGTCATGAATGCTTTCATTTGACACTTAGAAAAGCAACATAAGTATTCCTATTTTTTAAATAAATATCGACCTTGAAGCATAGTGGTGCCTTGCACACCTGTGGACATTTTTTTTTTGGGGGGGGGTCCGGTTGTGGGGCCTGAACTCTGGGCCTGCGCGCTGTCCCTCAGCTCTTCAGCTCAAGGCTAGTGCTCTACCACTTGAGCCACAGCGCCACTTCCGGCTTTTTTCTTTTTGCTTATGTGGTGCTGAGGAATTGAACCCAGGGCCTCAGGCATGCAAGGCAAGCGCTCTACCACTGAGCCACCTTCCCAGCCCATGAGCCACCTTCCCAGCCTACCTGTGGACATTTTAAAGGAAGTGACAATGTCATCTGACTCCAGGTTCCCTTGTTACCAAGACACAGTTCATCTGACCAGTCCTAATGTTTAAGGACTTCTTTTAGACTATATGTACACAGGGCTAAGCTACCCATTTTTAACTAGCTATCTGGTCTTGGCATCTTCTCAGTGGGTGGATATTCTCTATGCCCCCATGATTCATACTCTGTTCCCACGCAGCATCATTAGGCTTTTGTCAACACATTGTGTCTTGAGGACACAGAAGTAGTTCCATGTGGACTGAGGTTCATGAAAGGTTTGTACTGGGAAGGCCTTTACCATCAACTGAGGTCAAGCATTCTTACTTAGCCTGGCTTCCTGTTAAAATGACCCAGATGCTTGTCAAAGAAGTTGGTGCCAGCTGGGCTGAGGATGACACTCAAGTGGCAGAGCAAATGCCTAGCACTTATGAGGCCTTGCTCTCCAACTCTAGCACCACCTCAGAAAAAAATGTTTTTATTGGTCTAGAATAGGACCTAACACAATCCAAGCCCACCTCCTAATCCAATCCCATGTCCTACGAAACTCCCTTTCTACATGGGGAATAAAGAGATTGTTACAGTCACTGGCTGTTAGAGTGTGGTGGACACTGTAAGAATAAGTCCCAGGTTTTCCTTTGGTCTGTCCAAATCCAAGAACATGAGAGGAAACTGCAACCTATTCCTTAAGAGGTTTAAGTATATTCTCCCATCTGAAGTCTAGTATGACTAAAATGGGCCTGTAGCTGATACTGTTAATATGAACAAATACACAAATTCAAGCAATCAATAATGGATTCAATTCAAAGTTCTAGGGGAAAAAAGCATGCATTACATACATATTGAATAGTACATACTTACTGGATATATGAACAAGACACAGTTTTTGTCCCCCAAGTTCATGATTATTTATAGCTTTGTTTTTTTAAAGAAATGCGACGAGCCCAAACTTTTATGACTTTTGGTGAACGAGACGTAGGACGATCAATTTGATATGATATGATGTCAAGGGAAGAATTGGTCTGAGTTAGAGTCCTCTGGATGCAGAGACATTTAAGAGGTTTTAAAGCGGGTCAGGAAGGGAGAGGCTCAGCTTCTCCCCTGGGAAGGGGAGATCTGACAACTTTTTGAGATGGATGCAGCAGCTTGAGGCAGATGGCTTCTGTGTTCCACGTACAAGTTGAAGTACACAGTGATGGTGTTTGACATTTACCAGATGTCATCCATTTCTGCATAGTCACTAACAGCCCACCCCACTGCAGACAGTGCATTAGGCTTAAAACGAATAATCTGTCCAGGGCCTAAGTGTGGGATCTTGGTGTGCTCCCTATTGTATTTAGTTTTGTTTAATTTGGGACAGACTGAGACATATAGGAATATAGATAAGCATCCACCAAAACAAGTAAAACAAAAAACCCCATAAATGTCAACCTTTATTTTATTTGACCTTTATTTTCTTGGTCAAAAAGGGAGACCCTCACTATTCATTTCATAGGTAATTAAGCAGAAAGTTGAAAACAAATCACTTTCCTTTTCCAGGGGGTCTGCCACATAGTTCAACTCCAAATTCAGCTCAGAGAATGTGATATTCAAAGAGCCTCATCCTAGTTACAGCCGAAAACTGAGATCTGAGGATCTCAGTTAAAAGCCAGTCTAGGCAGATAAACGTTAAAGACATCTTAGCTCCAATCCACTAAGAAAAAGTCAGAAATGGGGCTGTGGCTCAAGTGGTGGAACACTATAGCCTTGAGCAAAAAAAAAAAAAGCTCAGGCCCTGAGTTCAAGCCCAGTACTGGTGCACACACAAGTGCCTGAAGTTTAATATAGTAGGTTAAATGTGTGTGTGTGTGTGTGTTGGGTTTTACAAGTTCCTTTGCCTACTAGGTGTTTTATTGTTTTTGGCTGCAGGTCTAGTAAGACTGATTAGCTTATTAGTAACTGGTAAGCGATGGGGAGAAGTCGCGCGGGGCTCTAACCCTCGTGGCTGTCCCCCCCCCCCCCTTTCCCTGCGGGGCTGCAAGCGTTCTGAGCGGGAGCGCGGGCTGTGTTCATCCAGCGGGGGGGGGGGGGGGGGTGCATTTCTGTGCAATCAGCCCGAACTGGACGCTGCAGGAGTTCAGGTTCCCGATGTTTCCATTTCATGTAGGGTTACTTTTCTTCTTCTTCAGCATCTCGTTATCATTCGCAGGCCTGTGAGGACAGAGTATTCGTTGCTCCTCCGCCAGTGTGTCTTTAAAACACACACACACTCTCTCTGTTCTTCTTCTGGTCTCACCGCGCGAGCCAGCGATCCCAAGGTAGTTCACCGAGGGGAAACCCAGGATCCGGACGTCCACCGCAGCCCGCCCGGCTCCTCTCGCTTGCGTGCCTGCGGCGCGCCGGGCCGACGGGCCGGCGGCGGGCGCGGGCGGAGGCCCCGGCGTGGAACCGCGCCGCGTACTCGGGCTCCGGGCCACCGCCAACTCCAGTTCCCGCGAAGCCCACACTGAGCGGGTTCAAGGAGCGCGTCTCGGGGCTCAGCACCTGGGCTGCTCCTCCGTCTTCTCCGCCGGTCGGGCAGCGCCTCGCGGACGCCGTCGGAAGACCTTCCGCCGCGGGTGGGCAGCGGCGGCCGGCAGCCTGCGGGCCGGGGCGGCCGGGCTCGGCGGGCCATTTCTGCAGCCCACACTCGGCCGCGTCGGTTCGAGCGGCTGCGACGCCGCACCTGCCCGCCAGAGGGCGCCGCGGGCCCGAGCCGCCGCCGCCGCCGCCGCCGCCGCCGCGGGCCGTCGCTCGCTGCCCCCGCCCTCCGCCCGCCTCTGACGGCGCTCACCTGTGTGGCCGCGGGCCCGGGAGGCGGGGGCCCGGCGGGAGCGCAGCCGGGGAAGAGGGCGGAGCGGCTTCGCCGGGCGCGTCATCGGAGCACCATGGCGGAGCTGGGAGCTGGCGGCGACGGCCACTGGGGCGGCGATGGCGCTGCGCAGAGCGAAACAGGTGACTGCGCGGCCGGGCCGCGTCAGGGGGATCCCGGGGCGCGGGAAGGGGGTCCGGGGGGCTTACCGGGGTGGGTGGGGGCGGCGCCGGCGACCCCCGCCCGGGCCGCGGCCCGCCGGGAACGGCCGGCTCTCCGCGCGCGCGGTCCCCGCCCTCGCGGCCCGGGCTCCCGGCGCCCCGTCACCCGACTTCCCGCAACAGGTGGAGGCGCGCGCGGGGCGGACGGGGTCGCGCCGCCCGCCGGGCTCCAACTTCAACTTCACTGCGTGCGGACCTCGAGTCCCCGTCCTCCGTCCCCCAGCCTCCCGGAGCAGAAACCGCCGCGGGGAAGCCCTCGGTCC